TGTAGCAAACCTTGGTATATGAGCCACGTTACAATTACCAACAAGTGGGTTAACCCTATTGTTACGATGCGTAGGATGTTTGTCTTTCACGCCAGCGACCCAAGTTGTATTCCCTGCCCCACCATTCGCTACAATACCCAAAGGCTAAAATCTCTTGGTGAGGTTACTAGGTGTATTACAAAAATTGTTTTGTATTATTGCAAGGGGTACAACTTTTGACATTTTGTATACTGAACAAAAATATAAACCCAACATGCAACAATTTCAACAATTCATAAGAAAATCAGTCAATTGAAATAAATAAAATAGGCCCTAATCTATTGATTTCTCACAACTGTGCAGGGGCTTAGTGGTTAAGAGCGTTGTGCCAGTAACCGAAAGGTCGCTGGTTCTAATCCCCGAGCTGACTAGGTGAAAAATCTGTCAATTAACCCTAATTACTCATGTAACTCGCTCTGGATAAGAGCATCTGCTAAATGACAAAAAAAAAAAAGGGTGGGCCTGGGAGGGCATAGGCCCAGCCAATCAGAATTAGTTTTCCCCCACAAAAGGGCTTTATTACAGACAGAAATACTCCAGTTTCAACAGCTGTCCAGGTGGCTGGTCTCAGACCAGAAGCCGGATGTGGAGGTCCTGAGCTGGCGTGGTTACACATGGTCTGCTGATGCTTAAAGTTATTGAGGGAGATAAGAGTCTCCAGCTTCAGAGATTTTTGCAATTCGTTCCAGTCATTGGCAGCAGAGAACTGGAAGGAATTGCGGCCAAAGGAGGTGTTGGCTTTGGGAATGACCAGTGAGATATACCTGCTGGAGCGCAGACTACGGGTGGGTGCTGCTATGGTGACCAATGAGCTAAGATAAGGCGGGGATTTGCCTAGCAGTGATTTATAGATGGCCTGGAGCCAGTGGGTTTGACGACGAACATGTAGTGAGGACCAGCCAACAAGAGCGTACAGGTCACAGTGGTGGGTAGTGTATGGGGCTTTGGAGACAAAACGGATGGCACTGTGATAGACTACATCCAATTTGCTGAGTAGAGTGTTGGAGGCTATTTTGTAAATTACATCGCCGAAGTCAAGGATCGGTAGGATAGTCAGTTTTACGAGGGCATGTTTGGCAGCATGAGTGAAGGAGGCTTTATTGCGAAATAGGAAGCCGATTCTAGATTTAACTTTGGATTGGAGATTCTTTATGTGAGTCTGGAAGTTGAGTTTACAGTCTAACCAGACACCTAGGTATTTGTAGTTGTCCACATACTCTAGGTCAGACCCGTCGAGAGTGGTGATTCTAGTCGGGTGGGCGGGTGCCAGCAGCGTTCGATTGAAATGCATGCATTTAGTTTTACTAGTGTTTAAGAGCAGTTGGAGGCTACTGAAGGATTGTTGTATGGCATTGAAGCTCGTTTGGAGGTTTGTTAACACAGTGTCCAATGAAGGGCCAGATGTATACAAAATGGTGTCGTCTGCGTAGAGGTGGATCTGAGAGTCACCAGCAGCAAGAGCGACATCATTGATATACACGGAGAAAAGTGTCGGCCCAAGAATTGAACCCTGTGGCACCCCCATAGAGACTGCCATAGGTCCAGACAACAGGCCCTCCGATTTGACACACTGAACTCTATCTGAGAAGTAGTTGGTGCACCAGGCGAGGCAGTCATTTGAGAAACCAAGGCTATTTAGTCTGCCAATAAGAATGCGGTGGTTGACAGAGTCGAAAGCCTTGGCCAGGTCGATGAAGACGGCTGCACAGTACTGTCTATTATCAATCGCGGTTATAATATCGTTTAGGACCTTGAGCGTGGCTGAAGTGCACCCGTGACCAGCTCGGAAACCGGATTGCATAGCGGAGAAGGTACGGTGGTATTCGAAATGGTCGATGATCTGTTTGTTAACTTGGCTTTCGAATACTTTGTTGTGAGTCTGGTTGGACAAGCTGACAAATTCTGTAAAACGACATTGGATGCAGCTTATGGTAGAGAAATTAACATTAACTTGCTAATTGCACACCCCCTCAAAACTTGAGACATCTGTAGCATTGTGTGGCAAAACTGCACTTTTACTGTCCTCAGCGCAAAGTGCACCTGTGTAATGATCATGCCGTTTAATCAGTTTCTTTATATGCTACACCTGTCAGGTGCATGGGTTATATTGGGAAAGGAGAAATACTCACTAATAGGATGTAAACACATTTGTGCACAGCATTTGAAAGAAATAAGCTGTTTGTGCATATTTAACATTTCTTGGATTTATTTCAGCTCATGAAACAAACACTTTAGATGTTGCATTTATATTTTTGGTCAGTGTACTTTGATGAAACACAAAAAGACAGAACTCAAAAGCCAAATCAAAATAATTTATTTTTTGGGTGACATTTCATACAGAGTTTTAGAATTTAGTGTCTCAAACACTTAATTGATCCATTGCCATATTTCCTTGTTGCCACCCAAAAATTGTTGCAACCCAAAAATTAACAGAAAAAAAAGAACCCAAACATTAGGGAGAGAAGAAAGCTATTCCTGTAGATTTTCACAAGCCTGTCTACCTCAATATCATTACCATATGCTTCTAAAATGATTTCACATTGCTTAAACAGTAAGATTATTTTTTAAAACAAGTGCATTTATTTCATGACACTACATCACTAGCTGCTCAAAACTCATTAATGAAAAAACCGCCTTGGTGATTGGTTAACTCATTTATAACTGCATTACTAAACCCAAAGTCAATGCATCAAGTATTTCTCTCAGCTGAAATCTCAAACAATATACAAATGTCATATGCGTGATTCTTTGCCAATGCGATTTCACACACAACTTTGGGGAAACCAGCCTACCAAGATTGGAAAAAGCGTTGCACAGTAGGATTAAAATAAATAAAACGTAAAAAGCAAATAACGTTCTCCAGTAAGTCCAAACTGCAAATACCTAAGTCAAATTTCGGTCTTCGTTTTGATCAAATTTGAAAACAGCAAACTCACCCTAAAAAGCACAAAATCTGCGGTGGTGTATAGATAGATACCGGTCTGAAAAATGCCAGCCTCCCTTTCTCTGGAAGTTCAGCACTAGAACAAATACATTCTCCCACATGCCTCTAGTGAAGGGTTAATAATATGATATAGCATAGGCAACTACACCTCTACAGTTCTCATGTTCAGATTAACTGGGACAAAGATTTCCCAAACGACTACATTACCTAGCAAACCTTTCCAAGCGATTCAACTCTTGTACGTCCCAAATGGCACCCTGTTCCCTATATAGTGCACTACTTTTGACCAGGGCCCTGGTCAAAAGTAGTGCACTATATAGGGAATAGGGTGCCATTTGGGACGCACCCAAAGCTTTCACCCTACCAAGTCAACTAGGATCATAGGCAGCTGGCACATTGCACATGGAAATGGGCTGATATTGTTTAACCCCTTTACTTGGCTGCCAAATGTATTATATAAGCTAGCTAAATCACTCTCAGCTAACAGCACTCTTTAGCCTACTTCTGAATCTGATACTTCTATACCATCATTTATTTATATTTACAATACACAAAATGTGTTGCTAAACCTGAATAGATGTGGAGAAACCAACAAGATCTTGCCAAGACCATTCAGGTCAACTCATCAACCTAAGCACAGGCAGTCAGGTTTGACCGCATAAACCTTAGCCTGGTCCCAGATCTATTCGTGCTCTTGCCAACGCCATTGCTGTCATTGTCAAGCCAAACATGACAATTCCATACGGAGTTAGGGCAAGAGAGCCAAAACAGACTGATACCCAGGATACATCAACATATCTATTCCCTAGGTTTCCCAAAAAATAGCCTAACTAAGCTACAATCCCATTGTGAATAGTAGGTTGTAAACAGAGAGCCTGACTGACTGATTATCAGTATGTATGATCTGAATCTGTTAGACGGGAAATCCAGACAAAAACCAGGAAATAAAGATAGAAATAGATGAAATTTCAAATGAACAGCATTGGACCAGGAGACTGCGATCTGCGAGTCGGACCGCGCGGTGAGGTGCTCCTACCCCGAGTGGACCTCAGCTTAAAATAAAAATCACCCTTCCTTCCTTACGCAAACAAGAGCCATACAGCTCTGGGCAAAAACCACAGACATAAAACTGTAGCTTGATTTTACCGATAATTTTGTTGACCTTTTTACGGATAACAGTTGAACCAATAATTAACAAGGCTCAAATTATATATTTTTCAATGAATAAACAGAGGATCATCTCCAACCGCCTAATTTCAGGTAATTGATTCTCGAATGTTAGAATCACAATGAGCCGTTCGTTCGTTCCATGAACATCAGTGCAACAGCAAACTGAACTGTAGCACTCTGTCCCAATCTATTTGCTTAGCAGCAATCAACACATAAACAGACATCTTAATCAACCCGTCTTACCTCCAGTCATTCATCCTTGCCAAACCTACGCTCACAAGAAAAGAAAAATATAAGATGTCTCGTCGTCGCTGCGTTAGTGATATCTTTGTATATGTACACATGTATGCATGTATGTTATTTTCTTCTTCAGTGCATATGTTTCTTGCAGACCAACATCTATTCTTTAAAATCAAAAAGGTAGAGGGCCTTAATACAGGGCCCAGTGTCCCACCTCTCCTCAGTTAAAGAAAATGAAACGGCCTCCAAAAGAGATCACATTGATTTTAAAATCACTGATTTTAAAATTCTGTGAATACATTTGTTTACGAGGCCTAATTGAGATCTTTTTCCTTTTTAAAATCACTGAAAGTTCACACTTCTTAAGCGGTTTCTTTTTTTTTTTGCCCTACTTTCTCCTGGATGTCCCCAGGGTTCCATTTTCATTTCATTATTGTCATTTCACAAAGCTTTTTTCTTTCTTTGGGACAATGCTCCAGGAGGCAGACAGGAGGAGGCGGCTACCGTTAAGATTGTTGCTTTTATATGCATTTCATTTTATATATATATTTATATCCACATATATTTCATACTTTTTTGTTTGTTTTCGTTTTTCATATCGGAAGTTTTACTTTGGCGATACCGGGGGGATGTTCTGCTCTTTGCCAGTGTGTCGGGGGCCTCCATGAGGGGAGCTGCGGCAGGCCGGTTGGGGGCCCCGTCTCTGTTCACGGAACTTGAGGCCCCCGTAGCCTCCCTGTCTGGAGGGCCCGTTGCTGCGGTAGTAGCCTCCATCCCGGGAGTCCCGGTCCCGATCACGGGGCCGGGTCTCCTTGCACTCCCAGCCACCGTCCCTATCCTTCTCCTGCCGGTCTCCCCTGGGGTGGTCGCCTGGGATTGTGGTGGTGGAGCTGGAGCCTGGCTCCTCTGCCTTGTTGACGCGCAGCTCACGCAGAGGCTGGGCTGGCGTGGAAGGGGGGCCTGGGGGGGGGGCTCGCTGGCACACCTCGGCATAGCTGAGTTTACGGGGCTCCTGAACAAGAGACAGAAAAAAGGAACAATGAGTTAAGAGTAACAGATGACAAAAGATGCATGTCTAAGGGTTAGGGTAGAGAATGGAAACCAACTCAGTTTCATAAGATGAAGAAGCAATCCCAATGTAAAACGAAGCCATCATCTCTAACTGGCTAGATTTGAGGTAGAGTATTATCTTTGGTGCCTTACCACTGATGCAGGGGTAGCGGTAGTGGCTGGGGTGCTCAGTGTAGCTGGTGTGGAGGGCACTGTGCTTGGTTGAGGCTTGGGGCCAGGCATAGCTGGCTGTGTGGAGGGAGGTCCGGATGGGTTGGCCGCACAGGGAGCGGGTGTGGGTGGGGTCACTTTGGGGGCTGGGGGATCTGCTACCCTCTCCACCTTCTCCTCCTGATGGGATACACTACAGAAGAAAAAAGCAGGAAAGAAAGAAAGGAAAAACACCATTCGACCCAAAGTGAGTTTTAATGTCATTATGACTGAGGCAGACCATCGGTACCTTCTTTGAGCTCTATTTATTACAATTCTAGTCAATTCAATACAACTTTATTGGCAGATCACATATTAACAAGGCCATCTACAGTCTCTAGAATTCATCTGTGACATTAGCTTAACAACTCATCATTGACTTGAGGCTAGCCAGTTAACAAACATCAATCTTGAAATGAAAATGCTATGAGGAGAATTACCAGCTAACAGTAAAAAACGTATGCACTCACTACTGTAAGTCGCTCTGGATAAGAGCTTCTGCTAAATGACTAAAATGTCAAACAGACTTAAAAGAAGTCTATACACAAAGAAAGAGTGATATTACAGGACAACTCTAACCCTCTGAAAAAGAACGTGCAGACTTTAGCCTATTTTCCCTTACCTGGGGGCAGGTGCATGGATGGGTGGTCCGTGGGGGTGTGCAGCAGGTTTGGCTGCAGGTTGAGCAGGACTAGAGACAGACTCTGCCTCCTCATGTACTGGGGCTGGGGTTGGGACTGGGCCGGCACCCACTTCCTTGATGGATTCCTTGTTTGCTTGTTCCGTCATCTGTAAAGAGAGGAAGGGTAGACTGAAGTCAGCATATGAACGAGCTAAAAAACAAAACAAATACGATAGAGGCCCAAACTAACTTGAGATCGGCATGTGGAACTCCAGTTTTTGCACAAATATGTGACTTATGCAAAAGTCTGAGTTGAGCGTATGCATCTCAAGTTAGGATTCTGCTCAAAATAAAGTGATAGGAGTGTGGTAGCAAGGTGTTAACCATAGGGATCCCCTCTTTACCTTGTCTCTGTTCAGTCCTCTCACCACGTCTGACATCCTGTTCTCCAGTAGGGGCTCTCCCTGCGTACTGCCCACACAGCCCGGCAGCGGGGGGAAGTTGGTAGCAGCCAGGTCAAACTTAGGGGGCGGCACCTTTACCTCAGCCAGGGGTATGGGCCTCTGGAGGGGGCAAACAACGAGATAAGAACATTTACATTTTGTACCATACAAACTCAAAATTTACATAAAGTAACAGACAAACTAAGCTTAAAAACAAAAAGACATGCCCCGGAAAACAAGCAGAGACAGAATTCATAACCGGTTTGGTCCAGATTAAATCTATTATGCAAAAGCCAACTAATGCCACAGTAACTGTCGTTCGACTTGCAACGTTACCGTAATCCGCTCTTCCTCTCTCCTCCTTCGTGTGCCTCTGTATGTAGTCCTTCTGTAATCAAGGACAGAAGAGAGGTTTTTAGAGGTGGTGCAGAAATTAGTACACAAGTGTTCTGTTAACTGACTAACATTCTCCATATCAGACCTTCAGATCTCATAATCTTAGCGCTCATCGGGACAGGTGTGGAGGATCATAGCTTAGGGGAAAGGGGGAGCGTAGGTAGAGGAGAGGAGGAGAGAAGAGACCCAAAGCCAGTCACACCCCACAGCCTGCTTTCCCTCCTGCGCATCAAGTTGTCATCACTAGGTCTGAGATGACCCAAACGAATTCACCCCTTCAAAAACAGAATGTCATTGTTCCATTAGGGGGATAATACCTCCCTGACGACCTCACTGTGTGTTATGTCATAATACCTGGTCGAGAGATCTTTTTTTATGAATAAAAAAAACTAACAAAAAACACGTTCTTCAGTGTCAGGCTCACCTTCCGCGTCCAGCCATGCTTCCGTCATCGTTGAGGTCCGAGGTGGTGGAGAGGTGGGGGAAGGCTGAGGTCAAGTCTGGAGGTGTCTGGGTCTGCAGGGGTCCAGGAACAGTGGTGGGGGGCTGGGAGCTCCTCAGGCCGGTCAAGCTCTCCAGGGAGACAGGGGCCACAGATGTAGGGGCCACTCCGCCTGGTCTCCCCACCTGGGGCTTCACGTGGTTCCTGGAGGACGAAGGAGATGGAAGAAAGGATAACGGGTCTGACTTGGTTTAGATGCATCTAGGTCGTATTCATTAGGGACTAATCAGAAGAAAACTGACTCAAACGAGGAAGGCTACCTGCACTTGTTAATTTTCTGTTGCAAAAAAACATTTTGCTACGGTGTGCCCTAATAAATACGACCCAGGGTTACAGAGGCTAATCTTGGCACGTGAATATATGGTGGCCATTCAAATAATAGCATGCAGCATCTAGGCCTACATCTGATGATAAATACACCAACATGCAACAGGTGTGCAAAGAAAACTAAAAGATGAATGTTGGCTCAAATTAACTTTGCAGGAGTATTACAACACCCATCTGCCCCCCTCCCCTTCAATTCAAGTATTCGTTTTTTCAAGCCCACGCTTAAAGACCTTCAGATCGCAATCTTTTCACTTGTCGGGACAGGTGTGGAGATTCAGGGTTTTGGAGGGAGAGGAAAGGAAAGGTTAGGGGTGAGCACAGGAGGAGAAACAGAGACCCCATTCCCTCCAAAGCCTGTATTCCCTCATTGCACATCAATGTGTCATCATCAGGTCCAACCAGTGTTCGGGTTTTACATGACATAAGAGTACAATAGAATAAGCCGCTCATTATGCGTGTCCATTACGGAGCTTTAGAAATACATGTATTTGTTAAAAAGTGTTGGATACATTTCTTAATTTAAAAAATATCTTGCAAAGTTAAAGTGAGTATCTGTACCAATTCGCCAGCTCAAATAAGGTTATTTCTTACTCAGGTTGAAATGGCAGTTTGCAAAGGAAAAGTTACCAGTCAATCATTTTGGCTGACCAAATCTCCATTCCACTAGTTACAGTGGCTAGCCATCTTATTTATACAGTCATCATATGAAGCAGATTAGGTCACAGGAATTTCCCTCACCTCTTAGTAAAGGACATTTATTTGGTAGCATGACTACATTACCAAAGTACAGCTGTACTAATGAAACATTTCTAATGAAGCTTCTCTAAGAGATAAATGATGAAAAGAAACAAATGGATGGTTAGTCAGGATGAGAGGAACGGTTAAATGACAAAACAGAGAGCTAGCTAGATCACTGTGGATATGAGCCAAGCCATAGTTATGCTATAGCTCAGATAACAGCTTATACAACTGTTATTAACGCTTCTAAACATAAGCTGTCAAATGACTTCAATCCTATATGTCCATTACCTGAGAACATAACCTTTACTGTCAATGTTAAGGTATGAACTGAACTGTTATGAGCTGGCTGTCAGAGCTAAGACCAGTTATAGATTTAGTCATTTGGCTGTAGATAATGTAAGAGATGGGATAATGCTGAACTGTTAAACAGCCATGAACAGTTATGAACTGACAAAGCTGTCTGTGGTATGACAAGAGACGGGGAAGCAATGAAGCGGATTATATACAGTATAATGGCTGTACCTGAAGGCATTTATTACATTCTTTCTTGAATAGAGAGGTACACTGTGGGGACAGACAGTAAGAGAACAGGTGGTGAATTCAAAACCTTACCTTGGACTGGTTCATTCAATAAGACCCATTCACTATTAATAATGGAAATGAAAAATCTGTGGTTTTATTTAAGGATATATGCCATTAGGCTACGGCCACAGAGACGCATGAACATGGAATAAATCTTATATGCATTTATCAATTGCCTGTTTGTCATCAGTCAAAGGTTCAATCCAAGTAAACCATTTTCCGACGAGCTGCATAAGTAAAAAGGCGGAACTATTGTGCATTTTTGGATGGATAATCATCTCAAATTGAAAAAAAAACACTGGATCAATCCATAATTTTCAGCTGTAGCCTTACTCTATGAAGAAAAAAATTATGCCACAAAGTATTTTCACCAATGTTACTATGGATTAACCACAAACTGGCATGTACGGGTTCGAAGCATTTTCACCCACAGAAAGACAACTTACCACTCATGGCACTTCAGAGAGAATACAAAATCAACTTTCAACGTACCGGTTTCTGTTAAAGGGCCGAGTCATATTAAGGGAGTTGTTGCCAGTTTTGTAGTGTCCAGTAGAACTGAATCCATTCACAAAGCCACTGTTGGGAAACGGTGCCTGGAGATGTGGGAAAAGGAGGAAGAATTATTTGTCTATATTCTTAGAGAACTGAATTGTTCCTTTTTGTCTGATCAGCCCAACCACGAGACACACACAACCAGCCGCAGTGTAGTGCAGGAGAGTTAGTCAATACACAAGATCCCACCTTTCAAGTCACATTTAAAACAGATCAATGTTGAATAAGCAATAACAATAATATTTTCTATTTGTCAATTTAATTAATAGGAAGATGACATCTCTTACGTAAGAGATTTTCTCAATGAGACTAACCTAATAAAACGAAATGACAGTTACCCCAATTTACTAGGATAAAGTTGATAGTGTGCAGAATCTTACCAAATAATTTGAATATTATACGTTTATAACACAGTTAACACCATTTAAAAAAGATCAAGTCTGAGTGTTGACGCTCACCAGAGGAGTCTCGAAGTAGGGTGTAGGAGAGGGTGTCCAGGTCTGTGGTACGATGCCGTAGAGAGGGTACTGCTGCTGAGGGCTGTACACGTGCTGCATGTACAGGTTGGGGTTGTACTGGGACTGGGTCTGGGCAGACTGCTGGGCTACGTACATGCTGCTGTCCATGCTACGGTAGCCATTCTTAGCAAAGAACGTGTTGATGGCTTTAATCCTCGCCTAGAAGTTATAGAAAAACTTGTGAAATGAAACAAAATGTGGAATTTTGTCTTTGGTTTCACAATATGATTGCAAGGGAAGAGAGATGAATAAAAGGGAAGTGCTAGTTGAGGGAAATTACAGTCTTAAATTACAAGTGATTGATAGTGTTATAATGTAACTCACCATGATCGGTTTTCCCTGAAATGTTTTCACCTCTTCTCTTAGATATCTATGTGCCTGAAAGGAAAGAAAGACACCAGACAGGCAGAAATTCCATACGTTTATTCAACAAAATTGGGATTGATAACCGCTTAACGCCCATTACACCAATTAGAAGCCTGAATACTACTTTATAAGCCAATCAGATCCAGCGTACCTGTTGAGCGTCAGTGTCAGATTGGAATGTGATGTACCAGTTGTTGTTGTGCGCAAACTCCACACTAATCACTTTTGGACAGTTGTCATTTTTAAAGAGAGACTCTACTTCCTGAGGGGAACACAAAATAGAGTATGTGAGTTGATGAGCAAATACAGCAAACTTGCCAGCATTGTGACTGGAGGCATACTACTAGCAATTCACCTTGTCATTTACAATAATAACACCGGCTGCAAACGTTGTTGTAACATGGTTGTATATTGGTTATAACATGACTAACATGGTGGTCTGACCTCTACAGGTGTTGTCTCAGGAACCTCCCTCAGGATGATGATGCAACGTTTGTGATTAGGACGCACTTTCTCTCCTTTCTCATCCACTTGTACCATTGGAGAGGCTGAGAATAAGAACAGAAATCAGGCTCAGGGTCACAAATTACATCACTATCTATCTACATACAGTAACTATCATTGTATGGTTCTAGGAGTAGTCCACACTTCTCCTAAATTGTATTAAAAAGTATTTCCCTTGGTGCGTTACGTAAAAAAATTAAATAATAATCAATACCATTCAATCACAAGCCCACTTGTTCATAGACTGGTCACATAACTCTTTATAACATCCCACAATGACCACAGGAGTTGGCAAGAAAACAAAAACAGATTTGGGACCAGGGTACGTGGTTCCACAAAAGCAGCAAAAACAACAAATAAAACCAAGGTATAGTTCCTTACATCGGAGTATGTCTAGGATGAGCTCCATGTCAGTAGTGAGGGCCTTGATGCTCTCCATGCTAGCGATGGTCCATATGGGGACAAACTGGTCACTGTCCATCTGGGACATCAGGTACAGGTCCTTGGACAGGTTCTCCCTAGACAAAAAAATGAGGGTCAAAGGTAATCATCATAAAACATACATGGCTATCAAACATTTACATTTATCCTAAGGAATTCACTTCATATATAATCACATAGCCAAAGCCCATCAGACTATGGTCATACTGTAGCAAAATGTTTTGCAACTACAAAACGAACTTGTGTGTTTTTATTGGACAAGTTCAGGTAGTATCTCCCCGTTTCAAACATAGGAACAACTACACTCACCTAGATGTAGAACGCCTAATCTAGAACATGTGTACTCACCTAGAGAAGCAGAACTCCAGCTCTTTCTTGAGGGACTCTCTCAGATTCTCTGATGAGAGGGGCCTTTCCTCTGTCAGCTTGGTCTCCCCTGCAAACCAACATGCGTTTCATTAGTATGTAAGGGTCCGAAAACTCCATGAGGTCCGAAAAGATATCCGGAAAGAAGTCTGCATTTGTAAAAGTGTTATAATTTGTCGTGAGAAACATGCAGCCTTGTGGCTATGATCGACTAATCTTAACCATCTTTATTATATATGGTACATTATGGGTAGTGTAGTTTAGTTCATCATGCTGCATACCTGAGGTGCCGGTGGTGGTCTCAGCGGGGGTGAAGCTCAGGTCTGGGGGATCCATGCCATTCACAGTGATCTCAGCTGTGGATGCTGCCGAGGAGCTGCTATCCTCCAGGATAGTGAACCCTACACTGTACGGCTTACAACCAGGGGAGGACACAGACTCGGAATAACCTGGATGGGAGAGAGGGTACATCAGGTTGGACATTCATTGTTCGATTCTTCAGTTAATAGGATAATAGTGTGATAATTGTAAGAACATATAGTAGCCCATATGAGATTCTAACCGCCGAAATGTCTGCACTAGGATGTAAAGAGAGTGCAATAAGGGTCGACGTGTATTGTTAAATTCATAACTTTATATGATAATTGTGTGATAAATTGTAAGATATAGAATTTTCATTAGCTAATGTGGATATTTTGACTGCAATATGTCTGTTGCTGCTGTGACACTGCACCCTCTTGGCCCCGTGTTTTATAAAGAGAGAGAGAGAGAGTTCGCAATAACAATATGCCTACAGATTTCAGTACATGTGGCATGGATGTCATGTATGGTACAGCATAGGTAGTGGTATGTTCCTTCTGTTGTCAGCAATTTTAGCCCATCAGAAACGAATAAGGGTTATTGAATTGATAAGGTGGATAAGATGAGCTTTCCTTACAATGTAAAAGCGCTTTCAGCATCTGGAAATGTGTTATGCATAGCCAATTACTGACTATGTCTCTGATTATTATGTATGGCGCTAGGTAGGGTGCCAGCAATGCCAGGATTGTGGGTTCGATACCCACAAGCCAAATATAATTTTAAAAAATTGTATGCACTCACTTTACTGCAAGGTGTATTGGCAACAAGAGTCTGCTAAATTGCATACATAATTATATGGTGTTAAGTGTCGTTTCTCACCCTCAGTGATGTCAGCCTCAGTGATGTCAGCTGGGGGCCACTGTGCGCCGTCAGCAGGGACCTCAGCGGGGGCCACAGCCACCTCCTGCCACACCTTGGCATTGGGGTTCAGACCGGCGCCCTTGGAGGTGACCTTGGAACAGGGGGAGAGGAAATGCACATTATCATACACTTCAGGGTTGAAAAACAATTACATTTGGAATTTATGCAACTTCAGTTTACTTTCTAAACAGATTGAATCGAAATGGAATTAATCCCAACCCTGACATACTTCCATTGTCTCCCTTTCCCATGCTGCCTGAGGAACACTCATCAAGTCGAAATGCGTTGCAGTTATGCGTCCTGCTGTATTGTCAGTCTATAGGCTGATATGCTCTATGCATGTTTGTAAATAATTTGCAAATAGGTCACTAAAAATGTTGCCATGTCAAATACAGTGCAATTTTCGTGCACATCCTAAAACAAGGGAATTACACTCAGCATAACATTTGCATTTTGATTGATCCTAAAAACAAAACAAAATCTGCGCTTCTCACTGTACGTAGACTTGTTTTAGATCAGGGTTTCCCAAACTCAGTCCTGGGGCAGAGGCTCCACGTTTTCCCCCCAGTTTATTTTCGAATCTTTAAAGGCCCAGTGCAGTCAAACACTTGATTATAGATAGGAATAGATAAGGATAGATAGGAATAGATAAAGATGGATAGATATATAGAGATAAGAATAGATAAAGATAGATCTCTCCACACTGAAAATTATGATAATGCCCTTTTAGTGTAAGATATGTTTGAAAAGGCAGCCTGAAATGTGAGCCTGTTGTGGTGGGAAGGAATTTTGGCCTGTTGTAAATTAGTTAATAGACCAATAAGAGAGTTCCAAACCTCTGTCAATACCATCTAGTTTTCAGTTTCCCCTCCACACTCTGTCCTAGCTAAATTATTGCTGGAATAATTACTCTTTGCTAAGAAGCTATTTGTTTCCTTTTGACCATTTTAATTTAAAACAATCACAGTAAGGTACAGAAATGATTTGATATTGAGATAAATGTCCAATGCAGCAGTTTTTACGTGTTCATGCAGCGACATGTTTAACAGTTAGTTGTAAGTAAGTACCATGTAAAGTGAACATGCATTGTAATTACATGTGAATAATCCCCTAATGTAAATCTAATAGAAATGTAACATTTATTCGGGACAAATATTTAACAAAAAATACAGAACATCAATCTTGATAGAAATGTAACAAAGTATATAATTCTTGATACAAATGTATCAAACCCCTCAAGAAAGTGTAACACTTGTTTTCGTGACGTATACATGAGCACAACATCCACACAAACACGAAACCGAAAACAGAAAGATTCATAAACAAGTAGGTAACTAAGCCATTGGAAACCAAATTGAATTCGTGGTCGAGTTATACATTTAATTTTCAGTACAACCACTGATCGATAAACTACTATGATCAAGAACGCCAAAGCAAGCATGGTCCGCTGTCCCCATCCAGTATTAACTTAGTCGTGTGCAACTAGCGAGCATGTTGTGTTGGCTACGTTGTATCAAATAAAGATGCTTACCTCGAGAATAAATGTTTGTTGTACTTTATTGTGGATACAAGTTTAAGACGCCAAAGCTCTTCTATTGCGTAGTAGTTTAAAAAAAAACTACCCGTAATGTCGATTGTTTTTAAAAAAATCAACATGCGGTTCTCTCATTGAACTCCGCCTAAATCCTTGGCAGATGGACCCACATGACATGTCTCTGCAGAGAGCGCGCTCTCTTCCGTACGCTTACCGCCAAACCAAACCCAGAATCGCTGTTGGCAGGCAGCACTGTCAATCTCAAACCCAAGCATTAACTATAATGATATTCTGTTGCTACCCCTGCTACTGAGCCCTTAACCATTCCTGAGGATACTTGAGGCACGTGCCACTTTCTCCCTCTCTCGCCCCCCATGTTCTAAAATCTAATAGGAATTCGGAAATTAGTATTCTTCACAAGAGCATCTCGTCTGGTCTTGGGCGGATCCCCAGTTACATGACACCATTTTTTAAAAGGGGTATGGGTGGGCTTTACAGAGGCTTGGCACTAATCCAAAAAGGTGTAGTTATCTCTACATTTTAGTCATTTAGCAGACGCGCTTATCCAGAGCGACTAACATAAGCAATTATGGTTAAGTGCCTTGCTCAAGGGCACACCGACAGATTTTTCATCTTGTCGGCTCGGAGATCTCGAACCAGCGACCTTTCGGTTACTGGCCCAACACTCTTAAACGCTAGGCTACATGCCGCACCAGAGCTGTCAGTTACGTTGACTGGCTTTGACGGACACACAACATGTCAAACTTCGTATGTCAGCTACATGTGTCATTACTGCAACAATGACACAAATAAAAACAATACTGTGAAAACCGAAATATACTATGGCCCATAGCTTGACGTAAACTACAGCATAATCAGTAAACACTTAGCTAATGAATGGACATGACAGCCACGTACTTTCATATTGTGATACATCTCATGCTGCATACATATATTCACGCATGAAGCATTTGATATGGGTCGTAGGGGTGTCATCTTGTTTCACCTTTGAGTCCACAGAGCTTGTTTTAGGAAAAAAATACTAAAACCTGCCACATACCACTGGGGGTCGTTCCTAGTCACCACCTGCTACAAAATGATCCACCCTTCTCATACTAGTCTAACTGTTACTCCTGGCAAGAGCAGCTGTCACATCTCAGTATACATTGTGGTTTCAAAATAATTTGATATGTTAAGGAGCACACATTACATGGTGCACAATAAATCTGACAGCAGTCCCTATGTCTAGCAAAGCAACTCGAATTAATCTGGAGAAACATATTTGCAGTGCTAGCTTGCTGCTGCCTGGTTGTATCTCGTTAGCCCCAGCTTCTATATAGTCAGCTGACACCGACTGTGCTGCATAGGCCGGGTATTTGCAACGCATGTTAGCTAGCTAGAGTCTGGCGAGATTAGGCTACCTAGGTAACGTTAGCGTTGATTCGGCCTATTTGCTTGCTGGTTTAGCTGCATAGTTTGACAACGGTGCGCCTGCCCGCCTTCTCCAATCCATAGTCCACTAAATAGCATTACCGTTTTGTCACTACATAATGATTACTAGGCAAACTCCCAAATTAGCTAGCTAGGCTGTTACTGCTAGCTAGGTTAGCAAATTAAATGGCTGCCAAAGTAGTTGGTTGAACTAAGCTTCAGATAATGCTTGGTTAGCAAGCTAACGTTAGCTGGCTAACTAGTTACTCATCATGATTACTCTGTTTGCAAAGGAATTAAGATAACGTTACGAACAATATTTTCCATTGATTTACCCTTGCAAACCAACCGTGTGGTGTATTGAACGACACAGCAAATAAATCGTTCATCCAAACATATGGCAACATAACTAGCTAACGTGAACTATAAATAACCTCAACCAAGTTCTCGATGTGAATCGGATTGGTAGTTAGCTGAAATCATGGCAAATGTAGGTAATATCGGCCTCAAGAGCCTATGACTGAGGCATGATGACCCTATTGGGAAAGGCAATGTGGCAGGCGACAAATCATGGTGGTAGGAATGGGACTTGTGTGTAGGCTAGCCGACGTTAGCTTAGCTAGTTAGTAAGAGGCCGCAACTCACCATGCCGCCTGACCCCCCCCCGATCCCAAGTGGTGTCCCGTCCTCCACACAGGTCTTCGGTCCCGGATCAGCCTCCTCCTGCAGCAGCCGCGGCTCTCCGCCCTGGTCCGAACTCATCGGCCGCTCCTGGCTCACGTCTCCCCCGTCGTTTTCCTCCCAACCCCCCGGCCTGCTTGCCACCCCTAGTCTCTCAAAAATACTGGTTATACTGTCTACAATCAGTCTGGTTATCTCCTGCTAGACTTGTTTAGCCAACACCAAAATCTAGCTAAATAGCCAGAGTTAGCAAGTAAGCTATCCTACTTAGCTAGCTAGCCGGGTTGAATCAACGTGTATGAACCAAACTCGCACGACAATATATTAGACGAAAACTATGCCAGAGCATGAATCTACTTTTACCACCTTTGTCACTAATGTTTCTTCCCACAAATTTTTTACAAGCGTCAAAGCCGACAGGTGCATTCTTAACCGGGCGACCGAAGCGGACACTGGGGACACACGCCCTGCACGCACCTTTCTAAGAGCAGGGAGACATTAGTGAAGTCCGCCACCGTCCCAACTCACACTGCGAGTTCGAAATGACCTTTGGAACTTTCGTGGTACTTTCCGTTTCCGGTTGACAAACTTAAAAACAAACAAGCTTGGTTAGGCAGAGGTGTCTTTTATTTATTTAAATGCTTTACCTTTATTGTACAATATATTAGTACGTTTGATCTAAGAAGGGCAATACTTACCAATGCAATTGAGGTGCAGTTTTTGATAATTCTTTGAGGGAGTATAGAGTTTCTAAACCAAGGCTCTCCATCCCTGTTCCCGGAGAGCTAACATTAAACCGTCCTGTAGGTTTTCGCTCCAACCGTAATCTAGCGCATCTGATTATAATAATTAGCTGGTTGATTAGCTGAATCAGGTTAGTTACAACTGGGGTTGGATTGAAAACCTACAGGAGGGTAAGCTGTCCAGGAACAGGGTTGGAGAGCCCTGTTCTAAACCTTTATTCTTTACTCTATCAGTAGGCTGATGAATCAGACAGGCTGCTTCTGGTAGGCTATATACAAAGCCTGAAACTAAAGACTGCAAAATCGTCTTAAGTTTTCTTTACAAGTCAAAATGTTGAATACAATTACATTTGAACTTACTCTACCGGTTGTCCGGGGTGTTGGTCTTTCGGTTGGACGAAATTTGAAACCAAATATCCACAGGCAAATATTGTTTACCTGACTTTTTAGAGTGCCGGTGCTGAAGTTGAAATTTCTATCACCTGGCACATGCGCAAAACCATATAAATACCTGCTGACTTCAGTTAGTATGCATGCATTGCGTAGGCCTACAGACGTTTGCTCATGACCGAAGGCACATGCACAAGACGGAAGTACATGCACGCAATGCATACTAACTGAAGTCAGCAGGTGTTTACATGGGTGGCAAGGAAGAGACCTCGAGAGGACCCATAATCAACAATATAATCATAATTATCGCCTTTATATCGTGTGAGTGAAGGGAAGTCATTCTGATGAAGTTCAACTTCAGTGGACACAACTTTTAGCAGAGGCAAGCGGCATGTGGTCGAAGATGACAGATGAGTGAGTCAGATCTGGGAAGAATGCACTTTATAGGGGGTTATGGCTGTGTCGTGCTCCCGGGGAACTTGGAGGCACTGCGGGAAAAGAAGAAGATAAAGAGAGTAAAGAAAGCAGATGTTGAGTTTGAATCCGATGAAGTGAGCAACAACAAGGGAGAAGTTGTGTCGAGGAAGATTGGTGTCAAGTACAGAGTGAGCCGTACTGAGTGAGTTCTGGAGGTGAAATGGAAGAGAATGAGGGAGAATTACCGGAGGTGGCAGGTGTGGTGAAGATCTTGGAGCCTGATCCTCGCACCGATGGTCATGATAAAGATGATATTCAGGGGTCCTGTTGGTTCCAGACTTGGTGTATTGGTACCGCATGCTGTGCGGTAGCAGAGAGAACAGTCTGTGGATTGGGTGGCTGGAGTCTTTGACAATTTTTTGGTCCTTCCTCTGACACCGCCTGGTATAAAGGTCCTGGATGGCAGGAAGCTCAGCCCCAGTGATGTGCTGGGCCATACGCACTACCCTCTGTAGCGCCTTGCGGTCGGATGCCAAGCAGTTGTCATACCAAGCGGTGATGCAGCCAGTCAAGATGCTCTCGATGATGTGGTAGTCAAACTTTTTGAGAATCTGAGGGCCCATGCCAAAACTTTTCAGCCTCCTGAGGGGGAAGTGGCGTTGTCGTGCCCTCTTAACGACTGTGTTGGTGTGGTTGGACCATGATAGATCCTTAGTGATGTGGACACCGAGGAACTTGAAGCTCTTGACCTGCTCCACTACATTTACATTTTAGTCATTTAGCATACACTCTTATCCAGAGCGACTTACAGTTAGTGAATGCAGACTTTTTTTTTGTTTTGTTTTTTCATACTGGCCCCCCGTGGGAAACGAACCCACATCCCTGCCGGCCAAACCCTCCCGTACCTTGGACGACGCTGGGCCAATTGTGCGCCGCCCATGGGTCTCCCGGTCGTGGCCGGCTGCGACAGAGCCTGGACTCGAACCAGGATCTCTAGTGGCACAGCTAGCACTGCGATGCAGTGCCTTAGACCACTGCACCACTACAACCCTGTCGATGTGAATAGGGGCGTGCTCAGCCCTCCGTTTCCTGAATTCCACGATCAGCTCCTTTGTCTTACTAACATTGAGGGAGAGGTTGTTGACCTGTCACCACACTGCCAGGTCTCTGACCTCCTCCCTATAGGCTGTCTCATCGTCGTCTGCAAACTTATTGATGGTGTTGGAGTCTTGCGTGGCAATACAATCGTGGGTGAACAGGGAGTACAGGAGGGGACTAAGTACACACCCCTGAGGGTCCCCCGTGTTGAGGGGCAGCGTGGCAGATGTGTTGTTGCCTACCATCACCACCTGGGGTTGTCCCGACAGGAAGTCCAGGATCCAGTTGCAGAAGGTGTTCAGTCCCAGGGACCTTAGCTTAGTGAAGAGCTTCGAGGGCACTATGGTGTTGAACGCTGAGCTGTAGTCAATGAACAGCATTCTCACATAGGTGTTCCTTTTGTCCAATTGGGAAAGGGCAGTGTGGAGTGCAATAGAGATTACGTCATCTGTGGTTCTGTTCGGGCAGTATGCGAATTGGAGGGGGTCCAGGGTGTCTGGGATGATGGTGTTGATTGTGAGCCATGACCAGCCTTTCAAAGCATTTCATGGCTACAGATATGAGCGCTACGGGGCGATAGTCATTTAGACAGGTTACCTTGGCGTTCTTGGGCACAGACTATGGTGGTCTGCTTGAGGTTGAAAATGTCACTGAAGGCACTTGCCAGCTGGTTAGCGCATGCTCTGAGTACGCGTCCTGGTAATCCGTCTGGCCCTGCAGCCTTTGTGAATGTTAACCTGTTTAAAGCTCTTACTCACATCTGCTACGGAGAGTGTGATCACACAGTCTTCCGGAACAGCTGATGCTCACGCATTGTTCAGTGTTGATTGCCTCGAAGAAAGCATAGATGGCATTTAGCTCGTCTGGTAGGCTCATGTCACTTGGCAGCTCGTGGCTGGGTTTCCCTTTGTAATCCATGATAGTTTGCAAGCCCTGCCACTTCCGAGAAGCGTCAGAGCGATTACAGCCTCAAGTCTTCTTGGGTATGACGCTACAAGCTTGGCACACCTGTATTTGTGGAGTTTCTCATATTCTTCTCTGCAGATCCTCTCAAGCTCTGTCAGGTTGGATGGGGAGCGTCGCTGCACAGCTATTTTCAGGTCTCTCCAGAAATGTTTGATCGGGTTCAAGTCCAGGCTCTGGCTGGGCCACTCAAGGACGTTCAGAGTCTTGTCCCGAAGTCACTCCTGCGTTGTCTTGGCTGTGTGCTTAGGGTCGCCCCAGTCTGAGGTCCTGAGCGCTCTGGAGCAGGTTTTCATCAAGGATCTCTCTGTACTTTGCTTCATTCATCTTTCCCTTGATCCTGACTGGTCTCCCAGTCCCTGCTGCTGAAAAACATCCCCACAGCATGATGCTGCCACCACCATGCTTCACCGTAGGGAGGGTGCCAGGTTTCCTCCAGACGTGACACTTGGCATTCAGGCCGAAGAGTTCAATCTTGGTTTCATCAGACCAGAGAATCTTGTTTCTGATGGTCTGAGAGTCTTTAGGTGCCTTTTGGCAAACTCCAAGCGGGCTGTCATGTGCCTTTTACTGAGTAGTGGCTTCCATCTGGCCACTCTACCATCAAGGCCTGATTGGTGGAGTGCTGCAGAGATTGTTGTCTCTGGAGCTCTGTCAGAGTGACCATCGGGTTTTTGGTCACCTCCCTGACCAAGGCCCTTCTCCCTCGATTGCTCAGTTTGGCCAGGCGGCCAGCTCTAGGAAGAGTCTTGGTGTCTGGCACTGGTCTGTGAGAGTATAGCATTCACACGCAGGACCGGTGTAGTTCTGGTAACACTCACAGGTACCACAGTCACACCTCCCATTACCTGTAAAGACGGAGACAGAACACATATAGGGACATTACTCATCATCCAACTCAATGTAGACTTCTACTAAAACCCTATCAAGCTTTTTTTCAGGGTCTTTCGAGACCGATATTGTCCTGGAATATGACCGGTGGAGGCAGAGTTATTTTTTGTACATAGACATACAATCAACCAATAACCTAGTCACTTATTTTAGCATCTATTCTAGCATATAGAACAATAAAAAATGTGACGAAGTTCACTATCAATGTTCCCTCTAATTATTTTTGGCACTGAGTAAATTTCAGGTCAGCTGAGCGCAAACTTGAACGTTGTGAAAATTCTGTGCAAAATCAGTGAACACTGAGGCTGTACCTGCTTTAAGTTACAGTTTTAACAGTGGCCAAGTAGGCTACTTTGGCTATTTGATCATTATGTAGGCCTACCAGAGTGGCCTACCATCAAAAACAATGGAGAAAAATGCATCACATAACATTTTAACATGGAATTAGCTGTTCTATCATTAAGCCTACAGTAGCAGCCAATGTGTGGTGTTCAATGTAGGCCTACATTCCATGAGACTTTTGAAAAAAAAAACATGCAGGGCTTGACATTAACCTGTTTATCCACTTGTCCTTCAGACAAGGAGGTGACTGAAAATGTTGTGTTGTTTGATGCAAGAAACCACTTTACAAAATAAAATATATGTATATTCCCATACCATTATTACAGAGAATTAGACAAATTATACTACTCTCTAACTATTGGCTACTTAGCTTATTTAAGACCGTCTCAAAATACAACACTGCCCCTTTAAGACATAAAAAAAGCACTTTACCTGACTCGCTTTTCAAAATAAATAAATGTTTGTGCTCTTGTAGGAAGCAACCACTCCCCCATTGTTGACTAGAAATTAGCTATAACTGGACTAATAACTCACTAACTAGCAAAGAATATGAACAAATGTGCACAGGTGACTACATGCAGCTCTCACTTTGATCTCTAAACAAGGACCGCTCATACTGTATCCTAAACACAGTCCAGTTCAAAGTGAACGGCACAGATCCATGTATGGCAATGGCTATTTGCATATAGGCCTACTGCAGCTCTGATTGGTTATGGCGCACCGGTCTGTGTCGAATATGGGCCTGAGCGTGCCTGTCAATGCAATAGCATCCTACTCCAATGCGCTCTGCCTACAAGAAAATCTCTCTTTGCATTCTAAGTCTTGCATAGTTCGTTTTGTTTCGGTATATTACATTGAAAGTGGCTAATATTGGGTTGATTCGATCACATTTCCAACAATAGAGTGAAACGTTCATAGTGTTAACTAAAGGGGAAACTCCAGAAAGGTAAGTGAAGTTCAGTCTCCTGCTTCTCTGTGCGGCGGACATTGCTTCTGCATGGCAGTCCAAGGGAAGCTGCGCGAGGGAACATTGGTCACTATGTGAAAGGCTGGGGATTGGTCCTTCGAGACAAATTTGAACCAGTGATCTAAAGATTACAGTCACCTTAGCTCTTCCCCAACAGTCACAGAAAATAAGTGATAAACGACTGAGTAAGCTCCTACAACATCCTTCTCAGACCCACATTCTATACACCACTTCTTTTAGAAACTCACAACATGAAGTGTCCTGAAGTGAGATGTTTTTTGGACCACTCCTTCCCCTGTTGTGATGGTTGCAGCTAGTGTCGTCACACTGGCAGTACTGGGCCTCTAGGGCCAGGCTGGTACCCATGTCCTGCTGGGTCTCACACTCACATCACTGGTCTGTGTGACCTGGATCACAACTGCAAAACAATCAAAGATACAGTAACAGTTTACACAACGTTTGAAAATGAAGAACCTGGCTGAGCTTTGGGAGAAAGCTTGTAGGCAATGGACGAAGAACAATCTTAGTGAAGGCTTCATAGCGCTAAGATTGTCTTTTGTTCTTTCTCCAATTGCCTAGACGATTTCAGAAAACTCACCAACTATTTCTTTAAAAAATTCCAGGACTGTCATGCTGAAGCAACTACTGTAAGTGAAAATAAACGTAGCTGCCTATGGAAAGTCTACACCCCCTTGGATTTGTTTACATTTTATTGTGTTACAAATTGGGATTCAAATTGATTTGTCTTTTTTCCCCCAATGATCTACACAAAATAATCTGTCAAAGTGGAAGACATTCTAACATTTTAAAAAGATGAATGACAAATAAAACCATAATATACCTTGATTGGATAAGTATTCACCCCCCCACACACACACACCTTTGGCAGCGATTACAGCTGTGAGTCTTCTTGGACAAGTCTCATAAGAGCTTTGCACACCTGTATTGTGCAATATTTGCCCATTCTTCTTTTCAAAGTTCTTCAAGCTCTGTCAAGGTGTTGGGGATCATGGCTAGACAGCAATTTTCAAGTCTTCCTTAGATTTTCAAGCAGATTGAAGTCAACACTGTAACTTGGCCACTCAGGAACATTCACTGTCTTCTTGGTAAGCAACTCCAGTGTAGATTTGGGTTTGTGTTGTAGGTTATTGTCCTGTTGAATGGCGAATTCCTCTCCCAGTGTCTAGTGGAAAGCAGACTGAAGCAGGTTTTCGTCTAGGATTTTACCTCTGCTTAGCTCCATCCCGTTTCTTTTCATCCTGAAAAAGGTCCCAGTCTTTGCCGATGTCAACCATACCCATACTTGTCTGGCTCCCTGGGTGCTAGGAAGCCCTGCAGTTAGGTTATAAGAGACCTGCTACAACCTCCGGAGGAGATGGCTGCCGTTTTAAGGGCTCCTAACCAATTGTGCTATTGTGTGTGGTTTTTTCACGTTATTTGTAATTTATTTTGTACATAATGTTTCTGCCAACATCTCTTATGACCGAAAATAGCTTCTGGATATCAGGACAGCAATTACTCACCTCATACTGGACGAAGATTTTTTATTTAACGAGTCGGACGTGAAGGATTTACTTCAGACACCCGACAAGGCCCAAATCCCCATCATTCGCATAAAGAAGAGACAGAGATATCGGGGACGTAGGTTGGGGTGCCTTGTAAGGATCCAATGGCGAGTGGGTCATCTGCCTCTACCATCAGTCCTATTTTTTATTTTTTTATTATTACTTTCTAACCCCACCACCCCTTCCCTAATTGGAGTAAACTAGTGAACAACAACGCTTAGGCCTCTACTTCCAGCATATACAGTGGGGAGAACAAGTATTTGATAAACTGCCGATTTTGCAGGTTTTCCTACTTACAAAGCATGTAGCGGTCTGTAATTTTTATCATAGGTACACTTAAACTGTGAGAGACGGAATCTAAAACAAAAATCCAGAAAATCACATTGTATGATTTTTAAGTAATTCCTTTGCATTTTATTGCATGACATAAGTATTTGATACATCAGAAAAGCAGAATTAAATATTTGGTACAGAAACCTTTGTTTGCAATTACAGAGATCATACGTTTCCTGTAGGTCTTGACCAGGTTTGCACACACTGCAGCAGGGATTTTGGCCCACTCCTCCATACAGACCTTCTCCAGATCCTTCAGGTTTCGGGGCTGTCGCTGGGCAATATGTACTTTCAGCTCCCTCCAAAGATTTTCTATTGTGTTCAGGTCTGGAGACTGGCTAGGCCACTCCAGGACCTTGAGATGCTTCTTACGGAGCCACTCCTTAGTTGCCCTGGCTGTGTGTTTCGGGTCGTTGTCATGCTGGAAGACCCAGCCACGACCCATCTTCAATGCTCTTACTGAGGGAAGGAGGTTGTTGGCCAATAACTCGCAATACATGGCCCCAGCCATCCTCCCCTCAATACGGCGCAGTCGTCCTGTCCCCTTTACAGAAAAGCATCCCCAAAGAATGATGTTTCCACCTCCATGCTTCGCGGTTGGGATGGTGTTCTTGGGTTGTACTCAGCCTTCTTCTTCCTCCAAACACGGCGAGTGGAGTTTAGACCAAAAGCACTTTTTTGTTCACTCAGACCACATACCTTCTCCCATTCCTCCTCTGGATCATCCAGATGGTCATGGCAAACTTCAACGGGCCTGGACATGCGCTGGCTTGAACATGGGGACCTTGCGTGCCTGCAGGATTTTAATCCATGACGGCGTAGTGTGTTACTAATGGTTTTCTTTGAGACTGTGGTCCCAGCTCTCTTCAGGTCATTGACCAGGTCCTGCCGTGTAGTTCTGGGCTGATCCCTCACCTTCCTCATGATCATTGATGCCCCACGAGGTGAGATCTTGCATGGAGCCCCAGACTGAGGGTGATTGACCGTCATCTTGAACTTCTTCCATTTTCTAATAATAGCGCCAACAGTTGTTGCCTTCTCACCAAGCTGCTTGCCTATTGTCCTGTAGCCCATCCCAGCCTTGTGCAGGTCTACAATTTTACCCCTGGTGTCCTTACACAGCTCTCTGGTCTTGGCCATTGTGGAGAGGTTGGAGTCTGTTTGATTGAGTGTGTGGACAGGTGTCTTTTATACAGGTAACGAGTTCAAACAGGTGCAGTTAATACAGGTAATGAGTGGAGAACAGGAGGGCTTCTTAAAGAAAAACTAACAGGTCTGTGAGAGCCGGAATTCTTACTGGTTGTGCAGATGGTTACCTATGATAAAAAATTACAGACCTCTACATGCTTGTAAGTAGGAAAACCTGCAAAATCGGCAGTGTATCAAATACTTGTTCTCCCCACTGTACATCCTATATAAATGTTATGGACACAGTCAATTTGACAATAGTTCTATTTTGTTTGTTTTTACTCCTGAACTTCCTCTACCCTCAACCTCTCCGATCATTTTCATGATGTCCATCCAGTTTGCTTCTATATGCCATATCTTTCAAACTGTGCTCTTTCACAAAAGTTCTTAACCTACAGTGGGGAGAACAAGTATTTGATACACTGCCGATTTTTCAGGTTTTCCTACTTACAAAGCATGTAGAGGTCTGTAATTTTTATCATAGGTACACTTCAACTGTGAGAAATGGAATCTAAAGATTGTATGATTTTTAAGTAATTAATTTGTATTTTATTGCATGACATAAGTATTTGATCACCTACCAACCAGTAAGAATTCCGGCTCTCACAGACCTGTTAGTTTTTCTTTAAGAAGCCCTCCTGTTCTCCACTCATTACCTGTATTAACTGCACCTGTTTGAACTCGTTACCTGTATAAAAGACACCTGTCCACACACTCAATCAAACAGACTCCAACCTCTCCACAATGGCCAAGACCAGAGAGCTGTGTAAGGACATCAGGGATAAAATTGTAGACCTGCACAAGGCTGGGATGGGCTACAGGACAATAGGCAAGCAGCTTGGTGAGAAGGCAACAACTGTTGGCGCAATTATTAGAAAATGTAAGAAGTTCAAGATGACGGTCAATCACCCTCGGTCTGGGGCTCCATGCAAGATCTCACCTCGTGGGGCATCAATGATCATGAGGAAGGTGAGGGATCAGCCCAGAACTACACGGCAGGACCTGGTCAATGACCTGAAGAGAGCTGGGACCACAGTCTCAAAGAAAACCATTAGTAACACACTACGCCGTCATGGATTAAAATCCTGCAGCGCACGCAAGGTTCCCCTGCTCAAGCCAGCGCATGTCCAGGCCCGTCGGAAGTTTGCCAATGACCATCTGGATGATTCAGAGGAGGAATGGGAGAAGGTCATGTGGTCTGATGAGACAAAAAATAGAGCTTTTTGGTCTAAACTCCACTCGCCGTGTTTGGAGGAAGAAGAAGGATGAGTACAACCCCAAGAACACCATCCCAACCGTGAAGCATGGAGGTGAAAACATCATTCTTTGGGGATGCTTTTCTGCAAAGGGGACAGGACGACTGCACCGTATTGAGGGGAGGATGGATGGGGCCATGTATCGCGAGATCTTGGCCAACAACCTCCTTCCCTCAGTAAGAGCATTGTAGATGGGTCGTGGCTGGGTCTTCCAGCATGACAACGACCCGAAACACACAGCCAGGGCAACTAAGGAGTGTCTCCGTAAGAAGCATCTCAAGGTCCTGGAGTAGCCTAGCCAGTCTCCAGACCTGAACACAATAGAACATCTTTGGAGGGAGCTGAAAGTCCGTATTGCCCAGCGACAGCCCCGAAACCTGAAGGATCTGGAGAAGGTCTGTATGGAGGAGTGGGCCAAAATCCCTGCTGCAGTGTGTGCAAACCTGGTCAAGACCTACAGGAAATGTATGATCTCTGTAATTGCAAACAAAGGTTTCTGTACCAAATATTAAATTCTGCTTTTCTGATGTATCAAATACTTATGTCATGCAATAAAATGCAAATGAATTACTTAAAAATCATACAATGTGATTTTCTGGATTTTTGTTTTAGATTCCGTCTCTCACCTCTACATGCTTTGTAAGTAGGAAAACCTGTAAAATCGGCAGTGTATCAAATACTTGTTCTCCCCACTGTATATACTTATTATGGACACAGTATGTTTTACATGAGTTATCTTGTTGTTATTAGTCCCAACCTTCAGCTCCATTCAACCCCTCCCATCTATCTCTTATTTGCCATATATTTTCAACTGTAATGTGATGTTTCACAAAAGTTCTGAACCCTTCTATTCTCATTGTTTCTACAGATTGTAAATTGAAAATAAACATTTTTGCAAAAGTATTATAATATTATTGATCGATTGACTATGACTATTCAGATCACCCAGTAGTGCTATCTGCAGGGTTAGCTCCAGGTAAATATTGCAATCCTACAGCCATTCCTGGACCTGTGACCAAAAACAAGCTACAAATGGACAGTACCAAAACAAATGATCTAATGATTCTGTCTCTTCGCAGCAAAATCTGCAGAGCTGGGAAGATTGTATCCCCCATATAAATAACATTCTATTGGTAGCAAGAATTTTGTATAATCATTTAATTTGAAAAATTCTAAGTTTTGAATCCAGTGTCGTTTTGCGTATCAGTTCATAAACCATTTGCCATTGAATCGGTATGTAAAAAATCTCTTCCCAACAATTTTGCAATCTATATGGGACAGCTGTCAATCCTTTGGTCCTTAAATGAAACTGGTTTACTTTTTTATTTATCACAATTTTCTTTAACCTCTACGGGATCGGTGTCCCGTATACGGGACGGTTGAGCTAACGTGCACTAATGTGATTAGCACGACTGTTGTAAGTAACAGCAAACTTTCCAGGACATAGACATGCCTTATATGGGCAGAAAGCTTAAATTCTTGTTAATCTAACAGCACTGTCCAATTTACAGTAGCTATTACAAAATAGTCCAGTATTGCAATGCTTCACTGGATCAATCTGAAACTTTGCACACACACGGCTGCCATCTAGTGGCCAAAATCTAAATTGAGCCTAAACTGCAATATTATATTGTGGCCTTTCTCTTGCATTTCAAAGATGATGGAACAAAACAAATGATAGAAAATGCGTGTTTTTTTGTTTGTATTGTCTTTTACCAGATATAATGTGTTATATTCTCCTACATTAATTTCACACTTCCACAAACTTCAAAGTGTTTCCTTTCAAATGGTATCAAGAATATGTATACCCCCTAAATTCTTTTTTTAAAAAAGTAGAAAAAAGAAGAATATGCATATCCTTGCTTCAGGTCCTGAGATACAGGCAGTTAGATTCCGGTATGTCATTTTAGGCGAAAATTGAAAAAAAGGGTCCGATCCTTAAGAGGTTAACCAATTATAGTCTTTAATGCAGGACCGACAGACAAGTTCCTTACTTTTTCCCCTTCCACTTTCCTCTTCCATTTTTGCGGTAATACTGCAATTATTTGGTTGTAATTTTGGGTAGAGCAGACATTTCCATATGTTTTTGTTAGCTGCATGTGCGACATAACTCCACCAGTCCTACCTATGATATCATTTACGAAGATTATACCTTTTTAAAAAACATTTTTTCAAAATATGTTTTTTTAATCAATTAGTATATTTGAGTTTAACCACAATATTTGTTGCATTATTTGTTCTGTCGTATCTGGAGGATTAAATTGAAATTGCAACCAACTTTCTATGGCTTGTTTTAGAAATAGTGATATTTGGGAGATGATTTCCTTTTCAAATAATTGAAAGTGAGAGGTTGTAATGTGAATAAAGGGGAAAAGGCCGTTCTTGAACATGGGGTGAGACAATCTTACTCATTTGCTAGAGAACCAGTTCGGATTTAAGTATAACTTTTGTATGACTGAAGCTTTTAGTGATAGGTCTAATGCTTTAATATTTAATAATTTCTGTCCTCCGAATTCATATTCATTATATAAATAGGCCCATTTAATTTTGTCTGGCTTGCCATTCCAAATAAAACGGAATATTTTTTTCTCATATAATTTAAAAAATGGTTTGCTAGTCGTAGACAAGACCATACGCAAATAGGTAAACTGGGATAATACTAAAGAGTTAATCAGGGTGATATTTCCACAAATAGACAGGTATTTACCTTTCCATGGTAGCAAGATCTTATTTATTTTTGCTAACTTTCTATTAAAATGTATTGGAGTGAGATCATTTATTTTGGGATATGTATCAAAAGCCTTTTCAAAGTGTTCTATTGTTTGCAGTACTTGCCTTATATTATCTCCAATGTATCGTCCATGTAAAAAACCTGATATAACACCTTTTTAATTATATGCGCTATACATTTTGCTAGAGTATTTGCATCACAACACTGAAGTGTAAGGGGCCTCCAATGTTTTTAATGGACTGGATCTTTATATTTCCCACTTGTGTCCTGTTTCAGTAATAATGAAATCAGACCTTTTTCTTGAGTGTCTGATAATCTACCATTTACATAGGAGTGGTTAAAACATGCTAATAACAGTCATCTGAGCATATCAAAAAAGGTTTGGTATACCTCAACTGGTATGCCATCCAACCCTGGAGTTTTCCCGGACTTAAGTCTTTAATTGCATCCAGAAGTTCCTCCTCTGTAATTTCGCCTTCACATTAGTATTTCTGTATGGCTGTTAATTGTACATTATCAATATAAAATAAATCCATACAATTAGCTTCAGTTAGAGGAGATGGAGGCGACTGAAACAAAAACATGCTTAAAGACCTTCCTTGTCCTTCAAAATATAATTTGGTGAATCATGGTTAATTGTTATATTTTAACAATTTAGTACATTACTTTTGTGAAGTCACTTTCTATGTTAAGATTTAAAAAAGCAATTTGGTGATTTTTGACCCTATCCAACCAGTGTGCATTTGTTTTTATAATATATTATACATTGATCGTCTTGAACAAGTTCCTCCATTCTTTTTTTCCCCTTAAGATTATTATGACCTCTATTTGTTTTTATTCTATCCATCTGTTATTTTTATTTGTTAGTTGATCTTTCTTGATAAGTGCTTTTGTTTTCGACCTCTAAATTGTTGAACCTCTAAACCGTTTTATTGTTCCATCTGTTTGTGAACCTTTGTTAGTATGGCTCTTTTGACCTAAATTGCTTTTGTTTTCGAGCTGAGTACTGAATTGTATGGGCTCTAAAGGCACATTTAAAAGTGTCCCATACAATAAGGGGATTTGCTGTACCTATGTTATGTCGGAAAAATTAAGTTATACATTTGTCTGTCCTAGTTCAAAACAAGTTATCATCCAATAGGCTTTGATTATCCTTGCCCACGTGAAAATTCAGTAAGAGTAATATATATGCCAATTATATGATGGTCCGACTGCATTCTGTCCCCTATCAACACTTTTTAAACTTTTGGTGCCAACGAGAATGACATAAGAAAGAAGTCAAGATGACTAGCTTGATTCAGTCTCCGCCATGTATATCTCACTAGGTCAGGATATTTAAGCCTCCATATATCCACTAGTTCTAATGTATCCATGACATTCATGATTTCCTTAAGAGCATGAGGATGATAGTTTGTAGTAGGATTTCCTTTACGGTCCATTGAGCTATGTAAAACAGTATTATAATCTCCCACCATAATAATAGAGTATTTTATTGCTTGCAGGGTTGATCATATATTATATATATTTTCAAAGAAGCGTGGATCATCATTATTTGGTCCGTAAAGGTTAACGAGCCATATCTGTTTATGGTCCAAAGACATATTTAAAATCATCCATCTACCTTGCGGATCTGTTCGGACAATTTGCACATTCAGATCAAAATTACTGTTAATTAATATCATCACCCCTTTTGAGTTTCTTTGCCCATGGGAGAAGTATATTTCGCCCCCCCAGTCCTTTTCCCACACAACTTCATCTAAAATTGTTGAATGAGTTTCCTGTAAACAATATATATTATATTCCTTCTCTTGGAGCCATGTAAATATTGTTCTTCTTTTGTTATTATCTGCTAAGCCATTACAATTATATCTGGGTATACTTATTTCATCATTTACCATAATGAGATACAAGTTTCAAATCTATTTATCATAATATATGATAAATATATACCATCAGTCCTATTACCAACGTGCAATCATTGGATAATAAAATGGATGAGCTCCGATCAAGAATATCCTACCAACGGGATATTAAAACTGTAATTCATCTGCATTGCTTGCTGTTTGGGGTTTTAGGCTGGGTTTCTGTGTAGCACTTTGTGACATCTGATGATGTAAAAAGGGCTTTATAAATAACATTTGATTGATTGATTAATATCTTATGTTTCACAGAGTCGTGGCTGAACAACGACATGGATAACATACAGCTGACTGTGTTTTCGGGGCATCGGCAAGATAGAACAGCTGCCTCCGATAAGACAAGGGGTGGCGGTCTGTGTATATTTGTAAATAACAGCTGGTGTACGAAATCTAATATTAAGGAAGTATCAAGGTTTTGCTCGCCTGAGGTAGAGTATCTCATGATAAGCTGTAGACCACACTATTTACCAAGAGACTTTTCATCTATATTTTTCGTAGCTGTCTATTTACCACCACAAACCGATGCTGGCACTAAGACCACACTCAACGAGCTGAACAAGGCCATAAGCGAACAAGAAAATGCTCATCCAGAGGTGGCGCCCCTAGTGGCTGGGGACTTTAATGCAGGGAAATTTAAATCAGTTTACCTAATTTCTACCAGCATGTTAAAGGTGCAATCAGAGAATGAAAAACTCTAGACCACCTTTACCCCACACACAGAGACGCGTACAAAGCTCTCCCTCGCCCTCCATTTGGCAAATCTGACCATAATTCTATCCTCCTGATCCTGCTTACAAGCAAAAACTAAAGCAGGAAGTACCAGTGACTCACTCAATACAGAAGTGGTCAGATGACGCAGATGCTAAGCTACAGGACTGTTTTGCTAGCACAGACTGGAATATGTTCCAGGGATTCTTCCGATGCCATTGAGGAGTACACCCACATCAGTCACTGGCTTCATCAATAAGTGCATCGATAACGTCGTCAACACAGTGACCGTACGTACATACCCCAACCAGAAGCCATGGATTACAAGCAACATCCGCACTGAGCTAAAGGGTAGAGTTGCCGCTTTCAAGGGGAGGGACGCTAACCCGGACGCTTATAAGAAATCCCGCTATGCCCTCGGACGAACCATCAAACAGGCAAAGCGTCAATACAGGACTAAGATTGAATCGTACTACACTGGCTCCAACGCTCGTCGAATGTGGCAGAGCTTGCAAACTATTACGGACTACAAAGGGAAGCAGAGCCGCGAGCTGCCCAGTGACATGAGCCTTCCATTCGAGCTAAATTACTTCTATGCTTGCTTCGAGGCAAGCAACACAGAAGCATGCATGAGAGCATCAGCTGTTCCGGACGACTGTGTGATCATGCTCTCTGTAGCCAATGTGAGTAAGACCTTTAAACAGGTCAACATTCACAAGGCCGGTTTACCAGGACGTGTACTCCGAGCATGCGCTGACCAACAGGCAAGTGTCTTCACTGACATTTTCAACCTGTCCCTGACTGAGTCTGTAATACCAACATGTTTCAAGCAGACCACCATAGTCCCTGTGCCCAAGAACACTAAGGTAACCTGCCTAAATGACTACCGACCCGTAGCACTCACGTCTGTAGCCATGAAGTGCTTTGAAAGGCAGGTCATGGCTCACATCAACCCCATTTTCCCAGAAACCCTAGACCCACTCCAATTTGCATACCACCCCAACAGATCCACAGATGATGCAATCTCTATTGCACTCCACACTGCCCTTTCCCACCTGGACAAAAGGAACACCTACGTGAGAATGCTATTCATTGACCACAGCGCAACGTTCAACACCATAGTGCCCTCAAAGCTCATCACTAAGCTAAGGACCCTGGAACTAAACACCTCCCTCTGCAACTGGATCCTTGACTTCCTGACGGGCCGCCCCAAGGTGGTAAGGGTAGGTAACAACATATCTGCCACGCTGATCCTCAACACGGTGGCCCCTCAGGGGTGCATGCTCTGTCCCCTCCTGTACTACCTGTTCACCCACGACTGTGTGGCCGAGCACAACTCCCAACACCATCATGAAGTTTGCTGACGACACGACTGTGGTAGGCCTGATCACCGACGATGATGAAACAGCCTATATGGAGGAGGTCAGAGACCTGCCAGGACAACAACCTCTCCCTCAACATCAGCAAGACAAAGGAGCTGATCGTGGACTACAGGAAACGGAGGGCCGAGCACACCCCCATTCACATTTTTACTTTTTTGTTAAAAATAAATGCACTGTTGGTTAAGGGCTCTAAGTAAGCATTTCACTGTAATGTCTGCACCTGTTGTATTCGGCGCATGTGGCCAATAAAATTTGATTTGATTTGATTTGATCGAGAGCATTTTGACTTGCTGCATCACCGCTTGGTATGGCAACTTCTTGTTATCCGCGCTAAAGAGGGTAGGGCTTCGACCCAGTACATCACTGGGGCCGAACTCCCTGCCATCCAGGAGCTCTATACCAGCCGGTGTCAGAGGAAGGCCCTAAAAATTGTCAGACACCAGCTACACATTTTTTGCAGTTTTGCTTTAGTGCCTTATTGCGAACAGGATGCATGTTTTGGAATATTTTTATTCTGTACAGGCTTCCTTCTTCTCACTCTGTCATTTAGGGTAGTATTATCCATCCTCAGTTTTCTGCTATCACAGCCATTCAACTCTATAACTGTTTTAAAGTCACCATTGGCCTAATGGTGAAATCCCTGAGCGGTTTCCTTCCTCTCCGGCAACTGAGTTAGGAAGGACACCTGTATCTTTGTAGTGACTGGGTGTTTTGATACACCATGCAAAGTGTATTAATAACTTCACCATGCTCAAAGGGATATTCAATGTCTGTTTTTTTCTTTTTACCCATCTACCAATAGGTGCCCTTCTTTGCGATGCATTGGAAAACCTCCCTGGTCTTTGTGGTTGAATCTGTGTTTGAAATTCACTGCTCGACTGTGGGAGCTTACAGATAATTGTATGTGTGGAGTACAGAGATGAGGTAGTCATTCAAAAATCATGTTTAACAATATTATTGCACACAGTGAGTCCATGCAACTTATTATTTGCTTATTGACATTTACTGTGCAAGGTGACCGAAAACACATGACCTCCTTTATCTCGGTCTCCTCCTGGGGGATCCCAGTATTAGTAGTCAACATAGTAGCATTGAGTCAACATCGTAGTAACAGCGATGGTTATAAATGTAGCCCTATGGAAGATACCAATGTGACATTAGTCAGGGGTGATGGAGAAGCAGTCCTGACGTTGTTTTGTCTGTGTATTGGAGGGGAGGTCAAGCTTTGACAAGATTGTGTAAGAAGAAGTGAGAACATTTGCCACTTTGAGTGTCTTTCCTATGCATTACATCACATTTTGCATTACATTTAGCTTATGAATGCCGAAAGAGTTATCACTTTTGCGACGTGGCTGCAAGCCAGTACTTCACTTAAAGCAATAAGCATTTAACTTGGTTTTTTTTAAAGATTAGGTTATGATTTTTATGTCTTGACAATACATTTATTTGTATTTTAGAGGAAATACATGACAATTAGTGAGCTGTTAATCATGCACAAAGTAAATCAGAAGAGCCAAGATTGTAACGTGTTTAATTCTTGAAGCGCAAAGAAAAAGCTGTAAAACTAGTTCCCAGAGCAGGGCAGCACACACATGGTTAACTGATTGAGAAATGAAAAAAAGAGTGCAAGGAAAAATGTTTGAGAAGACCAAAAATATTTAAAAAGATGAGAATACGTAAGTCCACAAAGAAGACAACAGGCATGAAAGAATGTAGCTCTGGTTTAGTTTATGAATCAGATGATTCATTCAACCAGAAACATACATGAAAAACAGGCATATGTGTAACAAAGAATGACTCCTCCTCTTCCTCCTCCTCTTCCTACTCCATATAGACCATGGGTCTCCAACCTTTTCTAGCATGAGAGCTACTTTAAATTTTGAAATGTGAGCTACTCATAATTGTTTTCCTAGCTTTGAAATAGGCACTCCTTGTATTTTCCCGAATTCAGTTTTCTCTGTTTTATTTTTTCCTGGTTTGGGATTTGTATTTGTTTTTTTTCACTCAAAATTACAATTATTCATAAAGAAACAATGACATTGGATGTTCTGAATCCATGTCAATGTTTAAATCACATCAGAAGACCATTTTTGAGGGCTGGAAAAAAACATACATTCTGATTTGAGTGTAATACCCCTTTAAATGCGCATTTTGCGAGAGAGGAATGTGCTGGTCTAGCAATGTTTTTGCAGCTGCATATGTCATAACAGAGTTTGCAAATCAAAAGTCCACCCAATTGATACAAATAATCATGATATAATTCTGCCAGGTAAGCCTAGTTTGCAGTTGACATTTAATTGAGAAGGTTTTGGGGAAAGTCGTTCTGTCTACCCAGAAGACAAGTTATCATTACCGCTAACTGGTTATACGAAGTGAATGATAGGCAAACGCGCACACCACACAGACATACAGGGGCAATATTGCGGTAAATGTATTGACAGATAGTGTTACGTTTGTGTTTTTAAGACAATTGTGAATAACTAGGGGTAATGTCAATGTGGATTTGATTGGATAGTAGCCGGGAGGTAGAGGTGTGTGATACTCGACAGTTCTCATTATCAGGCCGAACCCAACCGCGCGGCCCAGTATTATAGTCCTACATAATAACAATAAAATGCTTGATTGTATTTAAAGGCAAGAGTGACTCGTATGTTATCTAATGGTATGAATGAATGATTGATTGATTGATTATATTGAAGTAGGCTCAATTAAGACATAAAACAGGACGCTGCGCTCACAGCTTGATGGTGGATTGATTATATAAGGCTGCTACGTGGTGAGTCGAGCAAAATAATACACATGATTTAGGCTATATTGTTGCATGCTAAATGCTTCTGATCAGTGATGGATGATCAAACGAATAAATGAACCACCACATCCACTTGCCCAGCCAGAGATCAATTAAGCAAATATACAGACGGAAATTCAGTGAAACAAAATCACTCACTTCAACTTAGCTACCATTTTCCCAGCCTAATTGTTGCCAAATATCCAAACTGAGATTCAGTGAAAACAAACATCTGACATTGATTGATTTATCAAGAGGAGTCCCCCACACTTGACGCAAATCAGCGCGATGGCGCTGTCCCAATCAAAACGGTGCTGAAATGATCACACAAGACTATGACTTTAAACAATTCGGAAAGTGCATGTATTTTTCATTACTATTTGGTGAGCTACTCATAGATGGGCTGCTCACAATTGACCTGTTGGAGACCCCTGATATAGACATACATCAGAGGCGGCTGGTGGGAAGAGCTATAGGAGGACGGCCCATTGTAGTGGCTGGAATGGAATAAATGGAATGGAGTCAAACGTGGTTTCCATATATTTGTGTTTAATACTGTTCCATTTATTTAATTCCAGCCATTACAATGAGCCCATCCTCCTATAGCTCCTCCCACCAGCCTCCACTGACATGCATGTAACAGAAAAATTACTCTTCCTCCTAGTGTTTCTGGGGGGGGGATGCCTTGTTCATGAGTGGCGCAGGCAGCGACACCCTCTTCTTGATCACATGCTCCATGTGGGCATGCTCAGATGTGTCCAGGCTGATGTTGTATTTAGCAAGGATCTTCATGATTGGCCTCAGTTTCAGCCACCACGATGTCTTGGGGATGCGGTGCCTGGACAGGACAGCAGAGGGGGGTAGAGAAGCGTTAATAGGAATGTTGGGGAGATTTTGGCCATGTCCAGAAACAACCCCTAGCCCTTACCTCTAGACACTTATGGAGATCTGAGAGGATTGGATAGCAATATGGTGATAACAGGTGCTAGGGTTTATGTCTGGACAAGGCCAATATAAAAAGTGGTCCTTTGTGGCTCAGTTGGTAGAGCATGGCGCTTGTAATGCCAGGGTAGTGGGATCGATTCCTGGGACCACCCATATGTAAAATAGATGCACACTTGACTAAGTCACTTAGGATAAAAGCATCTGCTAAATGGCAAATATTATATTATTATAGAATAATCAGCAACTGCAACTTTCAAATTAAGCTTCATAGATTTTCTCTTTGAAAATATGTATATGATTTAAAGGATCTTACTCAAAGTCTGTCTGTTCCTTTAGCTCAGCAAGAGGCTGGAAGGTCAGTGCTCTCTTCTTCATGCCCAGCACACAGGCAGAGTCTGGGGTGTTAGCGAAGATACGACCTGGAGGACAGGAGAAGAAGATTATTAACTGTCACAGAGACACATATTTAAAACCAAGTATATGATATTACTGTGAAGTCAAGTAAAAGCAGGGGTAATCTCACGAGGACAAATGCACGTAACATAGGATGGTATCGTAGCGTCTGTCTGGCAGATTTTCTACACCACTGATCATTGCACAAATCACAATTTCGCAGGTGTTCGTATCTTTCAAATTTCGGAAGAGGAGGGGACATTTGGCCCATAGACTTGCCCGAAACATGCAGAGAGAGGGGGGTGGAGCTACCATCCTGCTTCAGCTCCTCATTCTAGTATTTTTTCTAACACGTCTGCCCCCAGAAGTTAATCGAACATCTGACGCAATTACGCAATATTTTAGTTCTGGGTTTCCGAGATTAAAGCAAGGGATACAACAGACAATTTGGTATAATTTTTTTACCGTCCTATCTTCTACCTATGTGTACATTACAATTGCCACTGAGACACATGGGCTATTTGTTGACATCCCATAGCCTGTCTGTCTTACCGTGTCTATAGACCTCCTTGAGTTTCTCTGTTATCCACAGAACAGCCTTGGAACCCATCTTGGTGCCAAAGTTCCTGTCGAAAGGTGTTGGGGTGCCGCCCTGGGGAAAGGGAAGGTTGTACATTTACATTTACATTTTAGTCATTTAGCAGACGCTCTTATCCAGAGCGACTTACAGTTAGTGAATACATTTTTTTTTTTTATACTGGCCCCCCGTGGGAATCGAACCCACAACCCTGGCGTTGCAAACGCCATGCTCTATCAACTGAGCTACATCCCTGCCGGCTATTCCCTCCCCTACCCTGGACGACGCTGGGCCAATTGTGCGCCGCCCATGAGTCTCCCGGTCGCAGCCGGCTGCGACAGAGCCTGGATTCGAACCAGGATCTCTAGTGGCACAGTTAGCACTGCGATGCAGTGCCTTAGACCACTGCGCCACTCAGGAGTATTACTACATCTAAAGTCGACGTACTGTATGTTCTAGTAAAGCTACAATATTAGGGACACTCTTCTACTACTTCTAATAGGGTGCCATTTGGGATGCAGACTTGTCAATGTTAACAGACCTGTTGCATGTGTCCCAGCACGTTCTTGCGGCAGTCAAAGATGCCCTTGCCCTCCTCAGAGTACAGGGCAAAGATGAAGTCTGTGGTATAGTTGGCATTGCAGTTCTCATTCCTGATACACAGAGGAATAATCAAAAGGTGTACAGATTAGATCTAAACATGAATGTAATGTATATATATTGTTGAAGTGGCAGTTCTCACTCGAGAAAGAGAGCAAGTTTGTGTTTTGGAAAGGTACAACCATAGTAGATAATGAAATGAATGAACGAATGCTTGAATGAACCCCACCTGAGAATCAAACCTCTCTTTACGTCTGTCTTCATCTTCTGCACGAGATGCTCTACATTCATCTGTAAACCAGAGCCAGTCGGTCAGCACACATTTGTACCATCTCTCCATCTCTCCAAAACTATTGAGCGTGCCGTCTTTAGCCAACTCTCTTGCTATCTCTCCCAGAATGACCTTCTTGATCCAAACCAGTCAGGTTTCAAGACAGGTCATTCAACTGAGACTGCTCTTCTCTGTGTCACGGAGGCTCTCCGCACTGCTAAAGCTAACTCTCTCTCCTCTGCTCTTGTCCTTCTAGACCTGTCTGCTGCCTTTGATACTGTGAACCATCAGTCCCTCCACTCCACCCTCTCCGAGTTGGGCATCTCCGGCGCGGCTTACTCTTGGATTGCGTCCTACCTGACCGGTCGCTCCTACCAAGTGGCGTGGCGAGAATCTGTCTCCGCACCACGTGCTCTCACCACTGGTGTCCCCCAGGGCTCAGTTCTAGGCCCTCTCCTATTCTCGCTATACACCAAGTCACTTGGCTCTGTCATATCCTCACATGACCTCTCCTATCATTACTACGCAGATGACACACAACTAATCTTCTCCTTTCCCCCTTCTGATAACCAGGTGGCGAATCGCATCTCTGCATGTCTGGCAGACATATTAGTGTGGATGACGGATCACCACCTCAAGCTGAACCTCGGCAAGACGGAGCTGCTCTTCCTCCCGGGGAAGGACTGCCCGTTCCATGATCTCGCCATCACGGTTGACAACTCCGTTGTGTCCTCCTCCCAGAGTGCGAAGAGCTTTGGCGTGACCCTGGACAACACCCTGTCGTTCTCCGCTAACATCAAGGCGGTGACCCGATCCTGTAGGTTCATGCTCTACAACATTCGGAGAGTACGACCCTGCCTTACACAGGAAGCGGCACAGGTCCTAATCCAGGCACTTGTCATCTCCCGTCTGGATTACTGCAACTCGCTGTTGGCTAGGCTCCCTGCCTGTGCCATTAAACCCCTACAACTCATCAAGAATGCCACAGCCCGTCTGGTGTTCAACCTTCCCAAGTTCTCTCACATCACCCCGCTCCTCCGCACACTCCACTGGCTTCCAGTTGAAGCTCACATCTGCTACAAGACCATGGTGCTTGCCTACGGAGTTGTGAGGGGAACGGCACCTCCGTACCTTCAGGCTCTGATCAGTCCCTACACCCAAATGAGGGCATTGCGTTCATCCACCTCTGGCCTGCTGGCCCCCCTACCTCTGCAGAAGCACAGTTCCCGCTCAGCCCAGTCAAAACTGTTCGCTGCTCTGGCACCCCAATGGTGGAACAAGCTCCCTCACGACGCCAGGACAGCGGAGTCACTCACCTCCTTCCGGAGACACTTGAAACCCCACCTCTTTAAGGAATACCTGGGATAGGATAAAGTAACCCCCCCTTACCCCACCGCAGAGACAGAGAGAGTGACTCCGCTGTCCTGGCGTCGTGAGAGAGAGACAGAGAGAGACAGAGAAAGACAGAGAGAGACAGAGAGAGAGAGAGAGAGAGAGAGAGAAACTGCAAGAAAGTGTGTATCCAGCTTCAGCTCACCTCCAGGTCTCTAATACAAAAATCTTCCTCAAAGATATATGCAGCATCAGCCCCAGCAGCCAGACCTGCCATGGTAGCCAGGTAACCACAGTACCCTCCCGCGGTCTCAATGATGAACACACGACGCTTGGTGCCTGCTGCTGACTGCTTGATCCTGTCACAGGTCTGAGGGGACAGGGAATAGAAAGGAGAGAGGGGGTAAGAGGGGGAGACGGACAATTTTACAGCATCAGAGTATGTGAGCTGAGTGGAGCTGGAGCAGAGCAAGGAGCGGAGCATGCCCAATTTGACTGGAGCGTGGAGCGAGATTCCCAAAAGCTGGAGCGTCGGCTTTCTCGCCCACTCCAATTTCGCTCCAGTGCCAATCCAAGTAGCGCTCACTTCACGAGCACAGGACATGCCCGGCCCAGCATGCATTTGTAGTCTACTTGTGCTGCTATAGCCCCTTGCTTTATCTACTGTCATGAAGTTCGCTAAATATTTTTCATAAAGAAACTGAGAAAACACACAGGTGCTAAATCAAGGTAACTTACAAAGATGAGGACCAAGAGCAAGAGAGGGAGTGCTGTAATGTAATGTCCACAACTAAAGAATCATTGTGGAATCTGAAGAGACATGTATCCCGAAAGCATGATGATGTACTTACTACGAGCACATGCTAAAAGAAAGGAACGAGGTGGGTAGATAACTAAGTGTGTCATTGTGGCAAAGTATTTATAACTTAAAAATCAGATCTCTTAAACGTTTCGTTCATTTTTGTTCTATTATCTATACAACAGGCCATCATTGATTTTGGTCCAATAGGCCTGGCATATTCCAACATTAAAGGACCTTTCCGTTTTGATTGGGTTATTTTGCCTAAAAACCTTTAGGCCTGCCTATAGAAATATAAAAAAACAACTCTGCATCCCTGCCCAGCCTGGCAAGAGTGGCCAAAAGGGTGTTTAGCATCCCCAGTGGCTCTGCAAACACGGAGAGGATATTCTCGGCTGCTGGCCTGCTCTCCATGCACCATCGCATGAGCCTGAAGCCACAGACTGGCCAAACTCTTGTTTCTAAAAAAATTCAAAGACAATAAGTCATTTTTTGTTTAATTTGTATTTAATTCTAAGTAAGTCACAACCTACAGTCGTGGTCAAAAGTTTTGAGAATTACACAAATACTAATTTTCACAAAGTCTGCTGCCGCAGTTTTGATGTTGGCAATTTGCATATACTCCAGAATGTCATGAAGAGTGAGCAGATGAATTGCAATTAATTGCAAAGTCCCTCTTTGCCATGAAAATGAACTTAATCCCCAAAAAATGTTTCCACTGCATTTCAGCCCTGCCACAAAAGGACCAGCTGCCATCATGTAAGTGATTCTCTCGTTAACACAGGTGAGAGTGTTGACGAGGACAAGGCTGGAGATCACTCTGTGATGCTGATTGAGTTAGAATAACAGACTGGAAGCTTTAAAAGGAGGGTGGTGCTTGAAATCATTGTTCTTCCTCTGTTAACCATGGTTACCTGCAAGGAAACATGTGCCGTCATCATTGCTTTGCACAAAAAGGGCTTCACAGGCAAGGATATTGCTGCTAGTAAGATTGCACCTAAATCAACCATTTATCGGATCATCAAGAACTTCAAGGAAAGACGTTCAATTGTTGTGAAGAAGGTATCAGGGCGCCCAAGAAAATCCAGCAAGCGCCAGGACCGTCTCCTAAAGTTGATTCAGCTGCGGGATCGGGGCACCACCAGTGCAGAGCTTGCTCAGGAATGGCAGCAGGCAGGTGTGAGTGCATCTGCACGCACAGTGAGGCAAATACTTTTGGAGGATGGCCTGGTGTCAAGAAGGGCAGCAAAGAAGCCACTTCTCTCCAGGAAAAACATCAGGGACAGACTGATATTCTGCAAAAGGTACAGGGATTGGACTGCTGAGGACTGGGGTAAAGTCATTTTCTCTGATGAATCCCCTTTCCGATTGTTTGGGGCATCCGGAAAACACCTTGTCCGGAGAAAACAAGGTGAGCGCTACCATCAGTCCTGTGTCATGCCAACAGTAAAGCATCCTGAGACCATTCATGTGAGGGGTTGCTTCTCAGCCAAGGGAGTGGGCTCACTCACATTTTTGCCTAAGAACACAGCCATGAATAAAGAATGGTACAAAACACATCCTCAGAGAGCAACTTCTCCCAACCATCCAAGAACAGTTTGGTGACGACCAATGCCTTTTCCAGCATGATGGAGCACCTTGCCATAAGGCAAAAGTGATAACTAAGTGGCTTGGGGAACAAAACATCAACATTTTGGGTCGATGGCCAGGAAACTCCCCAGACCTTAATCCCATTGAGAACTTGTGGTCGATCCTCAAGAGGCAGGTGGACAAACAAAAACCCACAAATTCTGACAAACTCCAAGCATTGATTATGCAAGAATGGGCTGCCATCAGTCAGGATGTGGCCCAGAAGTTAATTGACAGCATGCCAGGGCGGATTGCAGAGGTCTTGAAAAAGAAGGGACAACACTACAAATATTGATTCTTTGCATAAACTTAATGTAATTGTCAATAAAAGCCTTTGACACTTATGGAGTCCTTGTAATTATATTCGTATTAGTTACATCGGACAAAATATCTCATAACACCATTGGAAGACCATTTTGTCATCTCTGACCACATGATATGCGAATTTCTTAGAATTCATAATTAATAAAAAAATGTGGTTTAAATACTGAGCTGTCCCTAAAGCCAAGCGACACTTTGTGGAAGACCAATACTTGTGTCATTCTCAAAAGGTTTGACCACAACTGTATATGCGCAATTTATAGAATATAATGATTTAATACAACGAAATGTGGTTTAAATACTGAGCCCTTTATGTCCCTACCAGCCTACTGTGTCGCACTGCAAATGCTTCACTATGTATTTCTTTGTAGGCTATAGCCTTGAAATAATTGAAATAATATAGCCTAAATAATGAATTATCTTTCCTTCCTTCTTAGGCTCCCTGTCTGGCTCCTGACCTATTTAATGTGTTTATATGCTGTTTAATATGACATGTAGCCTATTTGAAATGATGTGTGCTTCTTACATTCACATTTTCATGTTTATTCAAATACTTTTCATTTAAATCCATATGGTTTGGTTTCAATACTTCAAAACCAATTGGTAGGTCCAGGTAGTCACAAAAATAGATGGGTGTTGGTTAAATTGTGATTTTAATGAATCAAGCGAATTTGGAGCTGCAGTTCTTTTTTCCTGTGAGTGCAGAGCGGTTGGAAAGGGCATGGAGTGCAGGAGCTTGCGCACCGCTCCATGAGCGATGAGCGGGATTTCCAACCACTCAACGCTCACATGCTCTGTACAGAATGTGGAGGTTATGGTTTAGAGTAGGCCATGTGCCCTAACTGTTATTGAGCTGGGCCATTAACATCTGTGTTTTTGTGGGACAAGTTCAGGTACAGCAGCACCTCCCTGTTCCAGTTTAAAAATGGTTTTCTCCCTACTGAACATGACCCAGGTGTTGGTGTTACTTATGGTGATGGTGTTGATGTATTACGGTACTGATCGAGACGATGGTGTTGATGTATTACGGTACTGACCGAGGCGATGGTGTTACGGTACTGACCGAGGTGATGGTGTTGAGGGCTGTGTCAGCTCCGATGCTGAAGTCTGAACCGGGGACGTTGTTGGAGACAGTGGCGGGGATGACCACCATGGGAATGCACAGCTCTTCATACTTATCTCTGCCCTGCACCAGCTCCAGACCACCCATATACGCCTGGGAGAGGGGAGGGAAGGAAAGGCGAGAGGAGGGGGAGAGCAGCAGGGGTTACACTACTGAGGTACTGGGGTTATGTGTCTTTTGTAGTTACATGTGAGGTTCCACATAGACATTACATTTACACTTTAGTCATTTATCAAATTCTCTTATCCAGGATGACTTACAATCACAAGTCAATGTTCTAAAAGTAGGTAAGACAACCACATATTAAAGAAGACATGCATGTGATGAGATAATCTTCTGACTCTTACCTCAAACCCTCCAATGATCACCAGAGAGTGGATATTGAACTTAGCGATAGTCAAGCTGATTTCCTCAATGTACTTAGAAGGAAGGACTCTTCAAATAATGGAAGATTTAGTTAGTTGAGTGAAACATCAGTGATATACCGTATCACTGCCCCCAAAATAATTTTACATGTCAAAATGAGTTTTGTGTTCCCCTCAGTTCCACCCCTGCTGACAATACAAACTATAATCATTCTGAGTAGTAAAATAGGTCTATTGTAGTACCTCTTGGTGCCCAACTCAGAGCCCCCCTTCCCAGTCCAGCCTGAAACTCCAGTCCAGGTGATAGGCTCGATCTGTGGAAGACAACAAAGTCAAGGGGTCAAAGGAGTGAGGTTTCCATGTTCAGACAAGAGTTACTGTACCAGGCAGAGGAGGCTGCTGGGAGGAGCTATAGGAGGACGGGTTCATTGTAATGGCTGGAATGGAACCATTGGAACGGAGTCAAACGTGGTTTCCATATGTTCGATACCGTCCTCCCATAGCTCCTCCTACCAGCCTCTTCTGGTACCAGGCCACACTTGTTCTATATTTAGATTATAGATGACCTGGATCTTTACTCACAAAGTATCCAAGAGTGCTGATCTAGGATCAGTTGAGCCTTTTAGATGTTGCATGGACAAAAGGGACCTGATCCCTAGATCAGCACTCCTACTCTGAGACGCTTTATGAATACTGGCCCTGCTAAAAAGAGGAGTTTTGGCTGAGAGGAATGGGCTTTGCCTAGTACGCAATGCATAGTGCGTAGGGTGTATATACCTTTCCTTGAGCGAGACCCTCGAACCCATCATGAACGGCCAACATGTTGTGTCCCTGAATGATGCCGATCCTCACCGCAGAACGCACTGCAGCATTCATACCAGCACATGGAGCACCAATGTTTACTATAGCCACGTTAATGTTGCTCTGGAGAGGACGAGAGGAGGAGAGGTGGAGAGGAGAAGTGAGGAGGAGATGTGGAGAGGAGAGGTGGAGAGAAGAGGAGGAGAGGAGAGGTAGAGAGGAGAGGTGACAAGAAGAGAATGGTGACACATTTCTGTCAGTGCTAGAGTCTTAACTAATTTAACAAAACTCGTGTTCATTGTGTAGCTGTTGTTCCCCACCTTGGTATCTGGAGGGTTGATGTGTGCCAGCATCTTGTATGTGTTCCAGTTGTTTTCAAAGCTCCTGGACAGGGCCGACAAAACAGTGATGTGTTAGTAGACTGTGATAAAGTTAATATGTGACATCAGAGTGAGTAATTTCAGTAATAGTGAAGCCATTGTAAGAGTGGCAAAAGTAGGGTAGTGTTCTTACTTTCCTCTGAGCTTGATAGCGTCCTCCCATCTCTTCTCAGCCATGGCAGTAGTCACATCCTTAGTCTGAGGGGGAGGGGGAGGGGTGGGGGGAGAGAGAGAGAGAGAGCGAGAGCGAGAGCGAGAGATCATTAATGCAAATTTAAATAGAAGTTGAATCATCTGTCATCTCAGTCCATGTCATTGTTTTTCTCTGCCATATAATAATCAAAACCCTTTAGTAGTCAATTAAATTATTGTTGAATTGATAGCACAAGTGCTCAGATCTATGATGAACCCATTTGAATGGCACAAATACAACAGTGACTGATACTGACCACTTGGACACACTCCATGAGGGGCAGCCTGACGGCCTGGTTACCGGACAGACTGACCACACAGGCTGGGGTCTCTGGAGTGGCCTCCAACAGGGCCATCACAGCCTCCACACCCATCCTGCTGCCCTAGAGGATAACACACCCAGGGTTAGATACACACATCACGGTCAAACATAATCACGACACACTGTAGTTAGAGAGACACAAAGACACACCAACAGAGCCATGACCACCTCCACACCCATCCTGCTGCCATGGGGAGGGGGGAGAACACACACACACACACACATCACACATTTAGACATGCTCATACGCACAGACAGAGAGAGACCTACTAGGATTCTGTCGAAGGCTGAGGGAGTGCCGCCTCTCTGCACGTGTCCCAGAACAGTGGTTCGGGTGTCAAAGCCCAAATTCTTCTCCACCAGCTACAAATGTAAGAAGCACACACAGAGAGCTGTTAGCAACTGACAGTTTAACCGTATTCAACCCTGGTAGACAATGTAGTAGAATGTTAGCCCTTTAACTCTGCGGTAATATTTGGGAAATCGTCCCTATTGTGGGCTAAAAGATGCTGACACATAGTTTGTTTTGAAAGCCATCTTGTTGTGTGTGTGCGTTACCTTTACGGACATATTCAACCTCTCCCTATCCCAGTCTGTTGTCCCCACTTGCTTCAAGATGTCCACCATTGTTCCTGTACCCAAGCAAGCTAAGGTAACTTAACTAAATGACTATCACCCCGTAGCACTCACCTCTCTCATTACGAAGTGCTTTGAGAGTCTAGTCAAGGACCATATCACCTCCACCTTACCCGACAACCTAGACCCACTACAATTTGCATACCGCCCCAAGAGATCCGCGGACGATGCAATCGCCGTTGCACAGCACATGGCCCTATCCCACCTGGACAAGAGGAATACCTATGTGAGAATGCTGTTTGACTACAGCACTGCTTCAACACCATAGTATCCTCCAAGCTCATCACTAAGCTCAGGGCCCTGGGTCTGAATCCCGCCCTGTGCAACAGGGTCCTAGACTTCCTGACGGGCCGACCCCACGTGTTGATGTTATGCAACAACACCTCCGCCACGCTGGTCCTCAACACGGGGGCCCCACAGGGGTGCATGCTTATCCCCCTCCTATACTCCCTGTTCACCCATGACTGCGTGGCTACGCATGACTCCAACTCAATCATCAAGTTTTCTGACGACACAACAGTGGTAGGCCGGATTACCAACAACAACGAGAAAAATAACCTCTCACTCAACATTTAAAAAAAAAACGAAGGAGCTGATCGTGGACTACAGGAGACAGAAGAGGCAGCACGCCGCCATCCACATTGACAGGGCCGCAGTGGAGAGGGTCAAAAGCTTCAAGTTCCTTGGCGTGCACATCACTGAGGACCTGAATGCTCTTAGTTGTTGTGGAAATTGACTGACTATGCTGTTTATTTTCTGCATCTACGTAAAACATGTAATAAAAACATTGTTTTACGGTTTGGAATTTTTCTTAACGTTAAGGATCCCAATTTCGTTGAAATGTTTTAACAGTCACACCCCTAGCCCCTCACAAACTTCTACATATGCACCATTGAGAGCATTCTGTCGGGCTGAATCACCGCCTGGTACGGCAACTGCACCACCTTCAACCGCATGGCTCTCCAGAGGGTGGTGCGGTCAGCCAAACACATCAACGGGGGCACGCTGCCTGCCCTCCAGGACATTTAAAGGAAGGCCAAGAAGATCATTAAGGACCTCAGCCACCCGAGCCACGGTCTGTTCACTCTGCTACCATCTAGCAGACAGAGACGGTACAGGTGCATCAGAGCCGGGACCGAGAAACAGCTTCTATCACCAGGCCATCACACTGTTGAACAGCCATCACTAGCCGGCTACCTGCCAGATACTCAGCCCTGCACCTTAAGACTAATGCCCCATGTATAGAGTCAGTGAACGCTGGTCACCACATATATACTGTTGTTTAGTCACTCTGTATGTACAGTCCATTCAGAAAGTATTCAGAACCCTTCACTTTTTCCACATTTCGTTACGTTACAGCCTTATTCTAAAATTGATTAAATAAAACATTTTCTTCATGAATCTACACACAATACCCCATAAAGTCAAAGTGAAAACAGATTTTTAGATTTTTTTCAAATGTATTCATTTGCCGTTGCAAACGCCATGCTCTAACAACTGAGCTACATCCCTGCCGGCCATTCCCTCCCCTACCCTGGACGACGCTGGGCCAATTGTGCGCTGCCCCATGGGTCTCCCGGTCACGGCCGGCTACGACAGAGCCTGGATAGGAACCAGGATCTCTAGTGGCACAGCTAGCACTGCCTTAGACCACTGCAAAACTCTCCACTCCTTGAGATGTTTCTACAACTTGATTGGAGTCCACCTGTGGTAAATTAAATTGATTGGACATGATTTGGAAAGTCACACACCTGTCTATATAAGGTCCCACAGTTGACAGTGCACGTCACAGCAAAAACCAAGCCATGAGGTCGAAGGAATTGTCCGTAGAGCTCCGAGACAGGTTTGTGTTGAGGCACAGACTGGGGAAGGGTACCAAAACATGTCTGCAGCATTGCAGGTCCCCAAGAACACAGTGGCCTCCAACATTCTTAAATGGAAGAAGTTTGGAACCATCAAGACTCCTCCTAGAGCTGGCCGCCCGGCCAAACTGAGCAATCGAGGGAGAATGGCCTTGGTCAGGGAGGTGACCAAGAACCCGATTGTCACTCTGACAGAGCTCCAGAGTTCCTCTGTGGAGATGGGAAAACCTTCCAGAAGGACAACCATCTCTGCAGCACTCCACCAATCAGGCCTTTATGGTAGAGTGGCCAGACGGAAGCAACTCCTCAGTAAAAGGTACATGACAGCCCGCTTGGAGTTTGCCAAAAGGCACCTAAAGGACTCTCAGACCATTAGAAACAAGATTCTCAGGTCTGATGAAACCAAGATTGAACTCTTTGGCCTGAATGCCAAGCGTCACATCTGGAGGAAACCTGGCACAATCCCTACGGTGAAGCATGGTGGTGGCCGCATCATGCTGTGGGGATGTTTTTCAGTTGCAGGGACTGGGAGACTAGTCAACATCAAGGGAAAGATGAATGGAGCTAAGTACAGAGAGATCCTTGATGAAAACCTGCTCCAGAGCACTTAGGACCTCAGACTGCGGCGAAGGTTCACCTTCCAACAAGACAATGACCCTAAGCACACAGCCAAGACAACGCAGGAGTGGCTTCGGGACAAGTCTCTGAATGTCCTTGAGTGGCCCAGCCAGAGCCCAGGCTTGAACCCGATCGAACATCTCTGGAGAGACCTGAAAATAGCTGTGCAGTGACGCTCCCCATCCAACCTGACAGAGCTTGAGAGGATCTGCAGAGAAGAATGGGAGAAACTCCCCAAATATAGTGCATTGCAAAAGTATTCATCCCCCTTGGCGTTTTTCCTATTTTGTTGCATTACAACCTGTAATTTAAATGGATTTTTATTTGGATTTCATGTAATGGACATACACAAAATAGCCAAATTGGTGAAGTGAAATGAAAAACATAACTTGTTAAAAAAAAAATCTAAATCAAAATATATAAATAAGATCTGGTGCAACCAATTACCTTCAGAAGTCACATAATTAGTTAAATAAAGTCCACCTGTGTGCAATCTAAGTGTCACATGATCTCAGCATATATACACCTGTTCTGAAAGGCCCCAGAGTCTGCAACACAACTAAGCAAGGGGCACCACCAAGCAAGTGGCAACCATGAAGACCAAGGAGCTCTCCAAACAGGTCAGGGACAAAGTTGTGGAGAAGTACAGATCAGGGTTGGGTTATAAAAAAAAATCAGAAACTTTGAACATCCCACGAATCCATTATTAAAAAATGGAAAGAATATGGCACCACGACAAACCTGCCAAAAGAGGGCCGCCCACCAAAACTCACAGACCAGGCAAGGAGGGCATTAATCAGAGAGGCAACAAAGAGACCAAAGATAACACTGAAGGAACTTCAAAGCTCCACAGCGGAGATTGGTGTATCTGTCCATAGGACCACAGTACACTCCACAGAGCTGGGCTTTATGGAAGAGTGGCCAGAAAAAAGCCATTGCTTAAAGAAAAAAATAAGCAAACACGTTTGGTGTTCGCCAAAAGGCAAGTGGGCGACTCCCCAAACATATGGAAGAAGGTACTCTGGTCAGATGAGACAAAAATTTAGCTTTTTGGCCGTCAAGGAAAACGCTATGTCTGGCGCAAACCCAACACCTCTCATCACCCCGAGAACACTATCCCCACAGTGAAGCATGGTGGTGGCAGCATCATGCTGTGGGGATGTTTTTCATCGGCAGGGACTGGGAAACTGGTCAGAATTAAAGGAATGATGGATGGCGCTAAATACAGGAAAATTCTTGAGGGAAACCTGTTTCAGTCTTCCAGAGATTTGAGACTGGGACGGAGGTTCACCTTCCAGCAGGACAATGGCCCTAAGCATACTGCTAAAGCAACACTCAAGTGGTTCAAGGGGAAACATTTAAATGTCTTGGAATGGTCTAGTCAAAGCCCAGACCTCATTCCAATTGAGAATCTGTGGTATGACTTAAAGATTGCTGCACACCAGTGGAACCCATCCAACTTGAAGGAGCTGGATCAGTTTTGCCTTCAAGAATGGGCAAAACTCCCAGTGGCTAGATGTGCCAAGCTTATAGAGACATACCCCAAGAGACTTGCAGCTATAATTGCTGCAAAAGGTGGCTCTACAAAGTATCGACTTTGGGGGGGGTGAATAGTTATGCATTTTTTTGGTCTTATTTCTTGTTTTTTTTTCACAATAAAAAATATTCTGCATCTTCAAAGTGGTAGGCATGTTGTGTAAATCAAATTATATAAACCCCCCAAAAATCAATTTTAATTCCAGGTTGTAAGGCAACAAAATAGGAAAAATGCCAAGGGGGGTGAATACCTTTGCAAGCCACTGTACAGGTGTGCCAAGCTTGTAGTGTCATACCCAAGAAGTCTCGAGGCTGTAATCGCTGGCAAAGGTGCTTTAACAAAGTACTGAGTAAAGGGTCTGAATACTTATGTAAATGTGACATTTTTTTATTTTCTAAAAACCCATTTTTGCTTTGTCGTTATGGGGTATTGTGTGTAGATTGATGAGGGGGAAAAAAAACAATTCAATCAATTTTAGAATAAGGCTGTAACGTAACAAAATGTGGAAAAAGTGAAGGGGTCTGAATAGTTCCCGAATGCACTGTATATATTGTATTCTCATCCTAATACTATTACTGTACATACCATTTCCTTTTCCAAATTAAATACCGCCTATACACATCACGTATTTATATTCTGGATTCCCACACATGCTCACTCTAATATACAGTTGAAGTCGGAAGTTTACATACACTTAGGTTGGCCCACGGGGGGCCAGTATGAAAAATGTATGCACTCACTAATTGGAAGTCGCTCTGGATAAGAGCGTCTGCTAAATGACTAAAATGTAAATTGGATCACAAAAATATATATCTTTTTATTAAAACTAGTTTTTCAACCACTCCACAAATTTCTTGTTAACAAACTATAGTTTTGGCAAGTCGGTTAGGACATCTACTTTGTGCATAACACAAGTAATTTTTCCAACAATTGTTTACAGACAGAGTATTTCACTTATAATTCACTGTATCACAATTCCAGTGGGTCAGAAGTTTATATACACTAAGTTGACTGTGCCTTTAAACAGCTTGGAAAATTCCAGAAAAGGATGTCATGGCTTTAGAAGCTTCTGATAGGCTAATTGACATAATTTGAGTCAATTGGAGGTGTACCTGTGGATGTTTTTCAAGGCCTACCTTCAAACTAAGTGCCTCTTTGCTTGACATCATGGGAAAATCAAAATAAATAAATAGCAAATGTAGACCTCCACAAGTCTGGTTCATCGTTGGGAGCAATTTCCAAATGCCTGAAGGTACCATGTTCATCTGTACAAACAATAGTACGCTAGTATAAACAACATGGGACCACGCAGCCGTCATACCGCTCAGGAAGGAGACACGTTCTGTCTCCTAGAGATGAACGTACTTTTGTGCGAATAGTGCAAATCAATCCTAGAACAACAGAAAAGGACCTTGTGAAGATGCTGGAGGAAACAGGTACTAAAGTATCTATATCCACAGTAAAACGAGTCCTATATCGACATAACCTGAAAGGCCGCTCAGCAAGGAAGAAGCCACTGCCCCAAAACCGCCATAAAAAAGCCAGACTACGGTTTTCAACTGCACATGGGGACAAGATCGTACTTTTTTGAGAAATGTCCTCTGGTCTGATGAAACAAAAATAGAACTGTTTGGCCATAATGACCATTGTTATGTTTGGAGGAAAAAGGGGGTTGTTTGCAAGCCGAAGAACACCATCCCAACCGTGAAGCACTGGGGTGGCAGCATCATGCTGTGGGGGTGCTTTGCTGCAGGAGGGACTGGTGCACTTCACAAAATAGATGGCATCATGAGGAAGGAAAATTATGTGGATATATTGAAGCAACATCTCAAGACATCAGTCAGGAAGTTAAAGCTTGGTCGCAAATGGGTCTTCCAAATGGACAATGACCCCAAGCATACTTTCAATGTTGTGGCAAAATGGCTTAAGGACATCAAAGTCAAGGTATTGGAGTGGCCATCACAAAGCCCTGACCTCAATCCTATAGAAGATTTGTGGGCAGAACTGAAAAAGCTTGTGCGAGCAAGGAGGCCTACAATCCTGACTCAGTTACACCAGCTCTGTCAGGAGGAATGGGCCCAAATTCACCCAACTTATTGTGGGAAGCTTGTGGAAGGCTACCCAAAACGTTTGACCCAAGTTAAACAATTTAAAGGCAATGCTACCAAATACTAATTGAGTGTATGTAAACTTCTGACCCACTGGGAATGTTGAAGCTCGCATCTGCTACAAGACCATGGTGCTTGCCTACGGAGCTGTGAGGGGAACGGCACCTCCGTACCTTCAGGCTCTGATCAGTCCCTACACCCAAACGAGGGCATTGCGTTCATCCACCTCTGGCCTGCTGGCCCCCCTACCTCTGCGGAAGCACAGTTCCCGCTCAGCCCAGTCAAAACTGTTTGCTGCTCTGACACCCCAATGGTGGAACAAGCTCCCTCATGACGCCAGGACAGCGGAGTCACTCACCACCTTCCGGAGACACTTGAAACCCCACCTCTTTAAGGAATACCTGGGATAGGATAAAGTAATCCTTCTACCCCCCCTTACCCCACCCCCAAAAATAAATAAAAATAAAAAATACATATTGTAAAGTGGTTATCCCACTGGCTATAAGGTGAATGCACCAATTTGTAAGTCGCTCTGGATAAGAGCGTCTGCTAAATGACGTAAATGTAAAATGGAAATGTGATGAAAGAAATAAAAGCTGAAATAAATAATTCTCTCTACTATTATTCTGACATTTCACATTTTTTAAATAAAGTGGTGATCCTAACTGACCTAAGACAGGGAATTTTTACTAGGATTAAATGTCAGGAATTGTGAAAAACTGAGTTGAAATTTATTTTGGCTAAGGTGTATGTAAACTTACGACTTCAACTGTATCTACTTGGATTGTTATTTCTTGATTTCTTGCTTAGATTTGTTTTGTTTTGGGGGAATTGTATTGTATTTGCAAGACATTCTACTGCACTTTTGGAGCTGGTAACATAAGCATTTCGCTGCAGCTGTTATAACACCTGCAAATCTGTGTACACGACCAATAAACTTTGATTTGAAGTAACCTCGTCCCCAGAGAGTGATCCGGTTGGTGGTCAAGGCAACGCTAAAAGAGGTCCTAAAAAACAAGCAAACAAAGTAATTTGAACTGCGAGGTACAGTAATTTGAGGAGAGCTTGCTGACCTTCTTGATGTCTTCAGAGCCAATGGGGTTTCCATCTCTGCCCATAGCTCCCTCAGCCACAATAATCACATTCAGACGAGATCCTCTGGCTCTTTGCTGTCAGAGACCAAAGACACAAGATGTCAGCTTGATGATTAGGTATCAACAATGGAAACCGATAACTGGGATTAAAGATTATGTTGTAATGTGGTGTGTTTAAAAAGTCATTAATTATGGATAAGAGAAAATAGGAGAGGAAAGGAGAGAAGAGATGAGAATCCTTCAGGTCAGAGGTCAGTCTATCTGTTCATGTAAACCTACATCAGCCAGTCTTCTGCACAGATGCCCCTCCCATCCCTCATCTGGGGGCATCTCTGGGATGAACACCCAGTCAGCACCGCAGGCTAGAGCAGTCACCAGGGCCAGGTAGCCACAGTGTCTACCCATCACCTCCAGGATGAAGGTCCTCTGGTGACTGAGGAGAACAACAGAATAACCATCTTTGTTATAAACCAGGTTCAGAAGAGAAAACAGAAACAGGGTGTGTGAGCGATTTAGTGCTGAGCGATTAACCAAATTGTATTTATTTTTTGTTATTAAACAACTAACTGACCGACATAGGTTCAAGTACTTGAATTCCATTTAGTTCTGTTTTTTTGTGAGCCCAACGGTGCCATTTGCTCTAAAGATAAATCAAATAATTCACTAGAGAAATTAAGTCAAGAACTATGTGAGACGCTGGGCTGAAGGGAGTTGTAGTTTTCAATAAGCAAATATTCAACCTAGTTCAGTGCACAAACGTGTTAATTAACTACAATGACCATAATCCATTGCGCCTGTTCTTTCCAGCTCGGACAGAGACGGATACACTTTTACGCCTGCTAAGTTAGGTTAGATACAGACATACCGCATGAGAGAGGAATGTACACAACAGAACAATGAGAGGGAAGAACTAGTAAAAGTATGAAAATGTATGCACTCACTAACTGTAAGTCGCTCTGGGTAAGAGCGTCTGCTAAATGACTAAAATGTAAATGTAAATGTAAAATGATTTAGTCAGACAGCTCTGCAGCATACATAGGCAGGCTAGCCTAGATAATTAGGATGACTAAAGACAGTACAGAGATGGTTGTCTGGCTGGCTGGCTGCTACCGCCTGAGCAGAGATGAGATGATGACTTTAAGGAATGCAACAAATGAAGTCATCAAATAAAAACTAAGTAATATACACAACTGAAATATTTCATTATTTCATAGTAATTTCCTATTTTTCTATTAATGCATACCCAATGGACCTGACAGAGACAATGGAATATTTCCAATGTTTTGGCAATTGAAAAAGCTTGAAAACCATTTTAATGTCATTATTTCAATGACTTTAGTGTTGAAAAAAATGATCGAAACCGAAATCGGAAACCATTATAATTTTTTTATAATCTAACTGAAACCAAACCAACCTTTAAAAAGCACTAATCGCTCAGCACTAGACTGTGCATGCGTGTGTCAGGCTGCCGTTTATGGAGTGTGTCCAATTAGCTATTTAAAGTAATTAAGCCCATCAACCGTGTGTGTGTGTGTGTCTGTTTGTGTTGTGTGCACAGCTGCAAATCAAATTTGCATGTGACAGCGATGACCTCTCCTCACCTCTGTGCGGTAGTGGTGATGGCATCCACCACCTCTATGATGCGGTGCAGAGCAGAGTCAGTCCCGATGGTCATGTCTGTCCCACAGAAGTCATTGTCGATGGAACCCACCATGCCTACGATGTTCAGGTGGGACGATCTCCGGGCCTCGTCATCAGTGATTTTACCTGGAGAGCAACCATGGTAACACAGTAGTCAGTCATATACTGTCAGTCATATTCAGCAGCCATTCCACCAATGTACCAGACCTGGGCTTAAATAGTATATGTTTTCTTTACAATACTTTCATTGTGCTTGATTGAGTTTTCCTGGCACCATGGAACCAATGGAATAGCCTCAAAAGTGCAAACTTGCCCATCTGGCACTCCAGGCAGACTCAAACAAACGCTCAAATACTATTTGAACCCACGTCTGCAATACACTCAGTTCTTAGGGTTTTCCTATGGTTCCCGGGGTTCGGGGGCTCAGTCTTACCGGCTTTGACCAGGTCAACCAGCAGAGTGGACCACTCCGTCCTGAACTGGTTAGCTCCGGTCAAGCTACCGTCACCCCCAATCACACACAGGTTGGTGATGCCCAGCTTGACCAGGTTCAGGGCAGCCTTCATGCGGCCCTCCCTGGCTCTGAAGTCCATGCAGCGGGCACTGCCGATGACCGTGCCACCCTGGTAGAGAGAGACTCATAGAATTAGAAGAAATAATGGACAAAGTTGTGGACTGCAATTTGGTGGAGCCTGTTAAAAATCATTGAAGGCCTAGATGGCCATTTGTAACTTTTCTAAACGTGAAACATGATCTTTAGTGATGCATGTGAATCTTGCATCTCATCTGCAGCTCAACTCTAGGTCAGTTTGAGTACTGAGAATACGTAATGCTATCAGTACAGAGAGGCAGCTCTGTAGTCACACCCTGCTGGGATCTTTCCATGGTGCCTGGCCACTTCCCAACTCAACTTAAACACCCTGTGTACGTGGAGGTCAGCTTGTACTACTGGATCCCATCCCTGCTCTCTCTTAGTTACAGTAGGCATCATCTATCTATCTATCTATCTATCTATCTATCTATCTATCTATCTATCTATCTATCTATCTATCTATCTATCTATCTATGAACACTTTTGGTTGTGTGTTTGTATCAGTCTCTAATATTAAAATAAACCAGTCCTCTTGGTTTCTTGTCATTCATTTACTGTAATACCCTCTCTAGACAATGACAGCTTATGACAGTTGTGTACTGTATTGGCATCAGTGCTTGTGAGTGTCTGATAACAGGACTCACCAGTTGCAGCATCATGGACACACTCTCCCAGGTGGCCAGTTTGATGTTGTCTCCTCCATCCACCAGACCCTGGTAACCCTGCACACATCATCAACACAAATACAAACTCCATTATCTTCAATGTGGTTTCACTCACATATGAGGAACACTGCCTTCTGAAATGGGAGACAACAGCATGCTACTGCAGCCACACAACTCTTCTCTCAATGTGGGTTGTGATAGAATCCATTTTTGGGGGTATTTCTTAAAACTTCAGTTAGATAAATTACAATGGTAATCAGGATAGAGTGGATAGTAGCGGACTCTATGGGTGATCAGCAATGATAGACAACACATTATCAAGTGAATAAACTTGGATCACAGAACTGTGATTGTGATTCTAGGATTCTACTGTATGACTTTACCTCATGAACAAAGTAGACCTTGGCTCCGGTGTAGATACCAACTCTGACTGTGGCCCTCACGGCCGCGTTCATACCTGATAGTCACAGATAGACAGACAAACATGGGTTTACAGGATTGACTGAAGGCTTACACATGCTTATAACAAGTTATAAAGCCTTATACCTGCAGGCTTTCAGTAAAGTGCATTGCACAATAACGAGCAGCTTGTCAAAGCCAAACCGTGACATACACAGGGCCACAGCTCATAGTGGCAGTGCAGTAGTTATGGTGTAAAACAACCCGTTTCACGAATGCTAACATTAAGACTAAATCAAGTTTACATTTGGGTTTCAGCGTTGTCATCATCAAACACATTAATATGACTTTTATAGCCCCTAAGTGGCTTGATACCCATATATCGATGCTTAATACCCATATATCGATGCTTGATACCCATATATCGATGCTTAATACCCATATATCGATGCTTGATACCCATATATCGATGCTTGATACCCATATATCGATGCTTAATACCCATATATCGATGCTTGATACCCATATATCGATGCTTAATACCCATTTATCGATGCTTGATACCCATATATCGATGCTTAATACCCATATATCGATGCTTGATACCCATATATCGATGCTTAATATCCATATATCGATGCTTAATACCCATATATATCGATGCTTGATACACATTTATGTGTATCAAGCATTGACATATGGGTATCAAGTCACTTGACATTTGTGTTTTGGACTCAGAGTGTTTTGGCTACAACATCCGGCTGACACATTCAAAATGGCTCCTGAAACTTATTTTCAGAGTGGGAATAGAAAGGTGTCATGTCTGTAAACAGATCTGTAGAACACTGTAAAGGCCAAGATGTGTGTGTGTGTTTGTGTGGGTGCGTGTTGTGGTTGGTACGGGACGGTCTCTTGTTACAGTAGAGCAGCTGAGAGAAGAGCAATAGCATCCATACCATGACGTTCCACAAAAAGGTCAGTGGGTCTAAAATTAACCCAGAATTAGAGGGGGAGACGGACGGGGAATAGGCGGGAGATAACTGTGGCTTAGAGAAAAGGTTATGGGACACATTTGGAATCATCTATCTAGCAATGATACAATCGCTAGATAAACATCAGTCATAATATAGATTGTTTTATAGCCACTACACCCTAGTGGCTATAAAAAGTATTTGATCCCCTGCTGATTTTGTACGTTTGCCCACTGACAAAGAAATTATCAGTCTATAATTTTAATGGTAGGTTTATTTGAACAGTGAGAGTGTCACGCCCTGGCTCTGGGACTCTGTTATGTTGAGCCAGGGTGTGTGGTTTCTATGTGTTTTGTGTGCTAGGGTTATTATCTAGTTCTTTTGTTTCTATGTTGGCCGGTGTGGTTCTCAATCAGAGGCAACGTGTATCAGCTGTTGCTTGTTGTCTCTGATTGGGAACCATACTTAGGCAGCCTGTTTTCCACAGTGTGTTGTGGGATCTTGTTCCGTATGGTTTGTATTGTAACCAAGGACTTCACGTTTCGTATCGTTTGTTGTTTTGTTCGTGTGGTGAATTAATAAATAAGTATGTTCACTTATCACGCTGCGCATTGGTCCATTTCCTCCGACGATCGTGACAGAAGATCCCACCATAACTGGACCAAGCAGCGTGTCCAGGAGCCAACGCCAGAGAGGGCTCTAAAGGATATCAACCTCGACTGGGTCAAGCCGCGGGAGGAGGAGAGAGGCTGGACTTGGGAGCAGAGGAGCGAGAGTCTGGCAAGAGCCATGGAGGCCTGGCCCACGGGAAGGAGAGACGGCCAGAAAATTTTTAGGGGGGGGCTCACGCCGTGGACGACGGGGCAGCAGGAGGCCGGGATAGAGTGGTTCAGCGGGTTGGCAAAGGAGGCCGCCAGGTTACGGGAGTCACTGGTCACCAGGGGGAAGGAGAATGTAGAGGCACGGCGAGAGGTACTGGGGTGTGTTGCCAGTCCGGTCCGGCCCGTTCCTGATCCCCGCGTAGGGCCAGTGGTGTGTGTCCCCAGTACGGTCCGGCTTGTTCCTGTCCCTTGCACCGAGCCTGTGGGGCGCGTCGCCAGCCCGGTCCGGCATGTTCCTGCCCCTCGCACCAAGCCTGTGGTGCGCGTCGTCAGTCCGGCACAGCCCGTGCCTGTTCCACCAGTGCCTGGTCCGGCACCGGTCAGCTGCTCCACTCCAGAGCTAGAGCAATCCGCTCCACCAGTGTTCAGTCCAGCTCCGGCCAGCAGGGCCAGACCGGACCAGGGGCGCTTTGGGGGGTTTGTTGGAGGGTGGGGGTCCAGCCCGGAGCCAGAACCGCCTCCGAAAGAGGAATGCCCACCCGGCCCTCCCCTGTTCGGTTTATGTTTGGCGCGGTCGCAGTCCGCGCCTTTGGGGGGGGGGTACTGTCACGCCCTGGCTCTGGGACTCTGTTATGTTGAGCCAGGGTGTGTGGTTTCTATGTGTTTTGTGTGCTAGGGTTATTATCTAGTTCTTTTGTTTCTATGTTGGCCGGTGTGGTTCTCAATCAGAGGCAACGTGTATCAGCTGTTGCTTGTTGTCTCTGATTGGGAACCATACTTAGGCAGCCTGTTTTCCACAGTGTGTTGTGGGATCTTGTTCCGTATGGTTTGTATTGTAACCAAGGACTTCACGTTTCGTATCGTTTGTTGTTTTGTTCGTGTGGTGAATTAATAAATAAGTATGTTCACTTATCACGCTGCACATTGGTCCATTTCCTCCGACGATCGTGACAGAGAGACAGAATAACAACAACAAAATCCAGAAAAACGCATGTCAAAAAAGTTATAAATTGATTTGCATTTTAATGAGGGAAATAAGTATTTGACCCCCTCTCAATCAGAAAGATTTCTGGCTCCCAGGTGTCTCTTAAAGGCAGTGCTCCTAATCTCAGCTTGTTACCTGTATAAAAGACACCTGTCCACAGAAGCAATCAATCAATCAGATTCCAAAATCTCCACCATGGCCAAGACCAAAGAGCTCTCCAAGGATGTCAGGGACAAGATTGTAGACCTACACAAGGCTGGAATGGGCTACAAGACCATCGCCAAGCAGCTTGGTGAGAAGGTGACAACAGTTGGTGCGATTATTCACAAATGGAAGAAACACAAAAGACCTGTCAATCTCCCTCAGCCTGGGGCTCCATGCAAGATCTCACCTCGTGGAGTTGCAATGATCATGAGAACGGTGAGGAATCAGCCCAGAACTACACGGGAGGATCTTGTCAATGATCTCAAGGCAGCTGGGACCATAGTCACCAAGAAAACAATTGGTAACACACTACGCCGTGAAGGACTGAAATCCTGCAGCGGCTGCAAGGTCCCCCTGCTCAAGAAAGCACATATACAGGCCCGTTTGAAGTTTGCCAATGAACATCTGAATGATTCAGAGGAGAACTGGGTGAAAGTGTTGTGGTCAGATGAGACCAAAATCGAGCTCTTTGGCATCAACTCAACTCGCCGTGTTTGGAGGAGGAGGAATGCTGCCTATGAACCCAAGAACACCATCCCCACCGTCAAACATGGAGGTGGAAACATTATGCTTTGGGGGTGTTTTTCTGCTAAGGGAACAGGACAACTTCACCGCATCAAAGGGACGATGGACGGGGCCATGTACCGTCAAATCTTGGGTGAGAACCTCCTTCCCTCAGCCAGGGCATTGAAAATGGGTCGTGGATGGGTATTCCAGCATGACAATGACCCAAAACACATGGCCAAGGCAACAAAGGAGTGGCTCAAGAAGAAGCACATTAAGGTCCTGGAGTGGCCTAGCCAGTCTCCAGACCTTAATCCCATAGAAAATCTGTGGAGGGAGCTGAAGGTTCGAGTTGCCAAACGTCAGCCTCGAAACCTTAATGACTTGGAGAAGATCTGCAGAGAGGAGTTGGACAAAATCCCTCCTGAGATGTGTGCAAACCTGGTGGCCAACTACAAGAAACGTCTGACCACTGTGATTGCCAACAAGGCTTTTGCCACCAAGTACTAAGTCATGTTTTGCAGAGGGGTCAAATACTTATTTCCCTCATTAAAATGCAAATCAATTTATAACATTTTTGACATGCGTTTTTCTGGATTTTGTTGTTGTTATTCTGTCTCTCACTGTTCAAATAAACCTACCATTAAAATTATAGACTGATCATTTCTTTGTCAGTGGGCAAGCGTACAAAATCAGCAGGGGATCAAATACTTTTTTCCCTCACTGTAGTAGAGATCTGTCCAAATAAATATAATGTAATGGTATTTACTGGTGGGCCAGCTAAGGTATCCAGGTATTCATAGCTTTGTTAAAACATTGATTCTGTGAATTTGAAGTATAAACACAATCAGCACTACTGAGATGAAGACATATGACATTGCCAATAAACTACAGTCTCATTTTACTCTTCTTATTAGAGTTGTACACAAATCTGAAGCATAAGTTATGCAACTTCAAGATAAGAAGTATACTCTGCTAGGGAAAGATGCAGTCAACAATGTTTGTGTAGATATTGCCAACTTGAGATCCTTGTCAAGTTGGGTAGTTAAGTTATCTGTACTTGGGTGTCAGCCTACAAAGTCCCATGGCTCCAAGGATACAGGACAGCTATCACGCTGTACTCATCACGTTGTCCTCACTGCCCTGTCCACCACAGTAAAGTTAAAACCTAAAAGCCAAAGATTTTAATCAACTCCTGACACCTGGCCTCTGGGACTAAGAGACCAAGAAGACACATCACTCCAGCATCTAACTGGCATAACTGATCGCTCAGTTGCCCAACCCTTCTTTGGCTGCCTTTAGCTTGCTTGGAATGTTCTTCAGAGAGGATAAATTCAGCCCTAACTCTTAATTCAACTTGGGGTGTTGAGTTAATATAAACTCCTTTTAAACTCTGATGACTTTTAACCTACAGAGCTGGAGGTCCTCACAGTCAAACCCAGACTATTGCAGTACTAACACTGACACACACACAACACACACACAGTTACAGGCACACACACACAGTTACAGGCACACACACACACTTCTTACCTTGGGCATCACCACCAGACGTCAGCACGGCGATAGACCG